TAGTAATCACATTTTTAATAATAAAGTCACGCAGAGTCATCACGCCAATGTTAAGTTAATAATAGTAAAATTCCACCACTCAGAATGTCGTAATTGTCCAGTTCTTCCAGGAAATACCACTGACAAGATTAAAGCTTAGTATATGTCAATTTTTTCACACAAACAAAATACCGAGTGTCTGGAAAATGGCGGATTAACTCTTCGGTACGTTATGTACGGGCGTCCCAAAAAAAAAAAAATCTTTGATGTAGATTAGGAAAAAACATAATTATATCAAAGTAAAATTGACAACACTGCACGCACCTGATTTTGGCAAATGACATACCCTCTAAGAAAATAGAGCGCTTGTGGGCGGAGCTAGGAACTGCTAAATTCAGTCTTATCTTAGCAGGTACTAGCCCCGCCCACCCACCCTCTCTTTTTTAGAGGGTATGTCATTTACCAAAATCAGTCTTATCTTGACAGCCACTAGCCCCGCCCACCCACCCCCTTTTTAATTCTTTTGGGGTCAAATTGGTCTTAACTCGTCAAAAAAAAAACATGAGAAATAATTTCATGTTGTGGGTGTCCAACTCCTCCAAGAAATGTCCACATTTAGTGATAACATTTTTAATAATTGCAAAATTCATCCAAGGAAAGTCACACGAAGTCATCACATCACTTTTAAGTCAATAAAAGTACAATTCCACTAGTGAGAATGTTGAAAATGTTAAAAAATTTCTGCAAATAAGTGAACTCGTATGTTTTGATCATTTTTTGTAAAAGTTAATCAGTACTCGCTAAGATAAAACTGATTCTGACAGATGTCATACCCTCTTAGAAAAGAGAGGGTGGGTGGGCGGGGCTAGTAGCTGCCAAGATAAGACTGATTTTGGCAAATGACATGCCTTCTAACAGAAGAGAGGGTGGGTGGGCGGGGCTAGTAGCTCTAAGATAGACTGATTTTGGCTAATGAGACACCTTCTAAGAGAAGGTAGGTGGGCGGAGCTAGTACCTGTTAGGACTGATTTTGGCAAATGACATATCCTCGAAGAAAATAGAGGGCGGGTGGGTGGGGCTAGTTCCTGCTACGATAAGAGTTATTTTGGCAGATGAGATACACTTTAACAAACGAGAGGGTGGGTGGGCGGGGCTAGTAAATACTAAGATAAAACTGATTTTGACAAATGAGATACCCTCTAAGAAAAGAGAGGGTGGGTGGGTGGGGTTAGTGCCTGTTAAAATAAGACTGATTTTAACAAATGACATTCTCTAAGAAATTTAATTAAATTATTATAAGAAAAGACACCAGAGGCTCCAAAGCACTTTCAAAAGAAACACAAGATTGCTTTCCATTTTCCAAAAAGAAACGGAGTCCCAAAATTAACTCAAAAATAGGTCATATCAGTATTTTCCAAAAACAGAACACCAATGTCCCCCAAAAGTGTTTTAAATACTTTGCAAAAAAATTTCATGTGTGCCCAAGAGTCTCCCGAATAAAAAAAAACACTGTCTTCTTAATTCGTGTAAAAAATCTCAAAGGGGCGGGTGGGCGGGTCTAGTACTTGCTTAGATAAGACAAATTTTGGCAAATCACATATCCTCTGAGAAAAGAGAGGGTGGGTGGGCGGGGCTAGTACTTGCTCAGATAAGACAGATTTTAGCAAATCACATATCCACTGAGAAAATAGGGGCGGGTGGACGGGGCTAGTACTTGCTCATATAAGACAGATTTTGGCAAATCACATATCCACTGAGAAAATAGGAACGGGTGGGCGGGGCCAGTACTTGCTAAGATAAGACTGATTTTGGCAAATGTCAAGCCCTCTGATAAAATAAAGGGCGGGTGGGCGGGGCTAGTACTTGCTAAGATAAGGGTGCTTTTGGCAAATGCCATGCTCTCTGATAAAATAGAGAGCAGGTAAAGAAAGTTATATTGCAATTATTCTATTCTGATTTAATTTTTTTCTAAAAATTCTGGATGTCTAGGGTGAAAATTCGACACAGATTCACGCACCACAAGTATCTTATTTTATAAAATTAGAAAAACTTTTAATTATAAATTTTGGAGATGACGTCATCAAATTGTTGGTGGGGATAATTCGCTAAATTTTGGTTAGTATTTAACCATCTCATGATATTTCAAACTACTTCAAAATGTAACAAAAGGAGTTCCCAAGATTCTTTCGAACTAGTCCAAAAACAAAATAAAAGTAGTGCCCGAGATTTTTTCAAACTACTTCAAATACCAGACACAAAAGTTCCGAGAAATTTTATCAAACTACTTCGAAAACCAGACACAAAAGTCCCCGAGATTCTTTCAAACTACTTCAAAAACAAAACAAAAGGTACCCCCGAGATTCTTTCAAACTGCTTCAAAAACCAGACACAAAAGGTCCCCGAGATTCTATCAAACTACTTCAAAATCTAACAAACGGAGTCCCCCGAGATTCTTTCGAACAACTTCAAAAACAAAACAAAAGTGGTCCCCGAGATTTTTTTAAACTACTTCAAAAAGCAGACACGCAAGTATCGCAAGATTTTATTAAACTACTTCAAAATCTAAACAAAAGGGGTCCCCGAGACTATTTTCAAACTACTTCAAAAATAAAACAAAAGTGACCCCCAAGATTATTTCAAATTACTTCAAAAACCAGACACAAAAGATCCCCGAGATTCGTTACAACTATATACTTCAAAAACAAAACAGAAGTGGTCCCCGAGATTTTTTCAAACTACGTCAAAAAGCGGACAAAAGTTCCTCAAGATTTTATCAAACTACTTCGAAAACCAGTCACAAAAGACCCCCGAGAGTTTACTTCAAAAACAAAACAAAAGAGACCCCCGAGAATCTTTCAAACTACTTCAAAATCTAAACAAAAGGAGTCCCCGAGATTCTTTCCAACTACTTAAAAAAAAAAGTGACCTCCGAGATTCTTTCAAACTACTTTAAAAAACCAGACACATAAGATCCCCGAGATTCTATCAAACAACTTCAAAATCTAACAAAAAGGGTCCCCGAGATTCTTTAGAACTACCTACTTCAAAAACCAGACACAAAAGTTCCCCAAGATTTTATTAAACTACTTCAAAAATAAAACAGAAGTGACCCCCGAGATTCTTTCAAACTACTTTAAAAAACCAGACACAAAAGATCCCCGAGATTCTATCAAATAACTTCAAAATCTAACAAAAAGAGTCCCGGAGATTCTTTAGAACTACCCACTTCAAAAACAAAACAAAAGTGGTCCCCGAGATTTTTTCAAAAAACAGACACAAAAGTTCCCCAAGATTTTATTAAACTTCTTCAAAATCTAAATAAAAGGGGTCCCTGAGATTCTTTTAAACTACTTCAAAAATAAAACAGAAGTGACCCCCGAGATTCTTTCAAACTACTTCAAAAACCATACACAAAAGATCCTCGAGATTCTTTAGAACTACATACTTCAAAAACAAAACAAAAGTGATCCCCGAGATTTTTTTCAAACTACTTCAAAAAGCAGACACAAAAGTTCCTCAAGATTTTATCAAACCACTTCGAAAGCCAGACACAAAAGACCCCCGAGATTCTACTTCAAAAACAAAACAAAAGTGACGCCCGAGAATCTTTCAAACTACTTCAAAATCTAAACAAAAGAGGTCTCCGAGATTCTTTCCAACTACTTCAAAAACAAAACAAAAGCGACCCCCGAGATTCTTTCAAACTACTTTAAAAAACCAGCAAAAGATCCCCGAGATTCTATCAAACAACTTCAAAATCTAACAAAAAGGGTCCCCAAGATTCTTTAGAATTACCTACTTCAAAAACCAGACACAAAAGTTCCCCAAGATTTTACTAAACTACTTCAAAATCTAAACAAAAGGGGTCCCTGAGATTCTTTTAAACTACTTCAAAAACAAATCAAAAGTGGTCCCCGAGATTTTTTTCAAACTACTTCAAATAGCAGACACAAAAGCCCCCCGAGATTCTACTTCAAAAACAAAAGTAACCCCCGAGAATCTTTCAAACTACTTCAAAATCTAAACAAAAGGGATCCCCGAGATTCTTTCCAACTACTTCAAAAACAAAACAAAAGCGACCCCCGAGATTCTTTCAAACTACTTAAAAAAAACAGATAAAAGATCCCCGAGATTCTATCAAACAACTTTAAAATCTAACAAAAAGGGTCCCCGAGATTCTTTAGAATTACCTACTTCAAAAACAAAACAAAAGTGGTCCCCGAGATTTTTTCAAACTAGATACTTCAAAAACCAGACACAAAAGTTCCTCAAGATTTTATTAAACTACTTCAAAAACTAAACAAAAGGGGTCCCCGAGATTCTTTTAAACTACTTCAAAAATAAAACAGAAGTGACCCCCGAGATTCTTTCAAACTACTTCAAAAAGCAGACACAAAAGACCCCCAATATCCACGTACAGTAATCATGCATGTAATAGGTGTCAAATTTCCCCAAGAAAAATCACACAGTCATCACACCACTTATTAAATTAATACGAATAAAATTCCACCACTCAGAATGTCACAGTTGTCCAATTCCTCCAGGAAATACCACTGGCACAAGATTTAAGCAAGCATGTGTACATTTTTTCACACAAACAAAATACCGGGTGTCTGGAAAATGGCGGATTAACTTTTCGGTACGTTATGTACGGGAGTCCCAAAAAATAATAAAAAAAAGTCTGATGTAGATTAGGAAAAAACGTAATTTCATCAAAGTAAAATTGGCAACACTGCACAAATACAGCGCTTGTGGGCGGGGCTAGTAACTGCTAAACTCAGTCTTATTTTAGCAGGTACTAGCCCCGCCCACCCACCCTCTCTTTTCTTAGAGGGTATTTCATTAGCCAAAAGCAGTCTTATCTTGGCAGTTACTAGCCCCGCCCACCCACACTCTCTTTTCTTAGAGGGTATCGCATTAGCCAAAATCAGTCTTATCTTGACAGTCGCTAGCCCCGCCCACCCACCCTCTCTTTTAAATTCTTTTGGGGTCAAATTGGTTATTAACGTTAACACTTTCAGAAATTCGCCGGCGAAGGTCTGCGCACCCTGTGCTTGGCCTCCCGCGACCTCGACGAGGAATTCTTCAACAACTGGAAACAACGTCACCAGGAGGCCGCCCTGTCGTTGGACGGTAGAGACGAGCGCCTGGACGCCATCTACGAAGAAATCGAACGCGACATGGTTTTGATAGGCGTGACGGCCATCGAAGACAAGCTTCAAGATGGCGTAGCACAAACCATAGCCAACTTGATTTTAGCGGGTATCAAAATATGGGTACTCACCGGCGACAAACAAGGTGCGTTCTCAACGATCGCGATTCATCGATCGATGAACAATTCATTGCAGAAACTGCCATCAACATCGGCTACTCATGCCAACTTCTCACCGACGAACTCGTGGACGTTTTTATCGTCGACGCGTCTTCGTACGAGGAAGTCCATCAACAGCTACTAAAGTTCAAAGAAAACATCAAAATCGTCAACACATTCCAGCCGCAAAGCCCGGCCGGCATCCAGCTGGGTACGTCGAACGGTCATATGGACGCCACTGAGCATTCGACCGGCACTTCGACCCCACCGCATCAACAAGCAAATCCACCCGCAGTCAGTGTCGTCACATTCAGGTGGGATGATGACATTGAAAGATGTGAGAATACGAGAGCAAGGTAGAAAATACGAACGTGCAGGTTTTTTATTCTACATGAATATTTATTTATGTTGTTGTCTCTTCTTCTAACTCTTGTTTATTATTATTATTGTTTAATTTAGCATCACCCTCTCGGCAACTGGTTTATTTGTTTATATATTTTTTGTTAATCATCATTACTGTTCGACTAACGATTCTTTAGAATAGTTTTGGTGACGAGAAAATTAGTTCTTTAGTTTCCGTGTTAATTAATCTACCTGCTCTCTAATATAGCGTGTGCTTTGTTCCAAAAAAAAACAAAACAATATACAGAAAGTAAGTGCGTCGTAACAGTAGCACTTATCTAATCAAACGCTAACATAGCAGTTGTCGTTACGACAACCTTAGATATCCGTTAGTACCATCAAAACTAACAGCAATTTTTCTTTTTCATTCCTAGCACGGGGTGGGTTTAGTTATGGTCACGTGACTGTTCTCATCACTCAGCTTTTTTCACCGAACTGCCCCCGGGGAATTAAGGTCACTGCATGCGTTCACCATTTTTTTTGTTTCTCCTCTACGTCATTCTAGGGATGAGCAGCTTAATTTTCTTGGAGCAGTCAGTCGATTCTCGAAAAAAACAAGAAGAAACATTGCTGTTGCGTTCGACGTAGCGCTATTGCCAGAAATGTGTTTTTCGTCATCAAAAGTGCTGAGTAACGTTACTGAGAAAAGTTTTGCTTTTTGTAGAAGTTTTTATTTTGGAGGATTTTTGAAGTCTGCTTTTTTGGCATGATACTCAGTGTACTCTTTCGCTTTTTTTGGATTTTTGTTTCGCGGTGGGCGAGCTCGCCGCCGCCGGGTTTTTTAAAATGATGACGTCACGTTTTATCGTAGGCGTGTTTGAGATAAGGTAAAATGGGTGTCATCGTAAAACTTATTTGACAATATACATATATAAAATATTTGATTAGTATTTATACCGGGTGTCTGGAAAATGGGGCATTAACTTCAGTACGTTATGTACTTTATAGTACAAAGCCTGCAATCTTTGTGCAAATGGCGCAATAAATCCCTCGAGCTCGACCAGGAACCGCGCACTTCTGTTATTTAACCTCAATTCCATTTAAATGTTCAATTCTTATAACTCTGATATATATTAACGACAACTGAAAAAGTGTTAAAGTTTTAAAAAGAGCAATAAACAACATTTAAATTCCCCATACACTCTCATGAAATTTTAAACAGCTAAGAATTCTTATCCGAGATTAAGATTGGACATCAGACAATTTATATGATGCAAACATTAATCCACAAAATATTTACAGGAAAAAAACTAGCGAACAAAATTACATGAGTTTAATATTTTATGTCCATTCGAGTTATTGGTTAATTTTTAAAAGTGAAATTATTCAGCTGCATTGTGGGCCATCGTTTTACATTTCCCCGAACAAACACAAAAAAACATGGCAGACAATGTAGAAGTTCAAAATGGCGTCGGACGAATGCGTCTTTCCAAAAAATATGCGTCAAAAGTATTTTATTTAATTAGCAATTTTGTGTGAGGAATTAATAAGAAGTGTTATGATGAACACTTAAGTATAAGCATCCAGAAACTTATCCATAACTTTGTGAACAAATTTAATGTTAAATTGTGTTAGAACCCGTTAACGATTAAAATCCTAATCTGATCTGTGAATTTACAAACAAAACAAATTTACAGCACGTGTTAGCGTGGGTCGAAAATTCGCATTTTTCCGATTAATTTAGTTAAACAAAGGCTTCCTCCCTTTTATTAACTAGCAAACCAGCTAAACTTAACCTAGCTAACACACCACCTACCTTCTACAAAACAAGTAACCTTCGCTACCAACCCTCTCACTAAAATTCCAAGCAGAACTACCAACTACCACAATAAGATCTAAACGTGCACATAGTGGCCTGTGTTTAACGATTTTCTTTCAGCGCGAAATTTTAATTCAAATTCGGCCACCACAATGTCATCCACATTTTGCAAGGACCCATATATCAGTTTGTATTGTATTATTGTTATTCTTGAATGGTCATTTATAATCGATAAAATTACGAAACAGTATAATCATGTCTGTCGTATATAACAACATAATTCAACCCGCCCACCCACCCCGCCTCGATTTCAGTGATTCTCAACTGAAGAGAGATAAAATCGTTGCTAAGATAAGATTGACTTTGGTAAATGATATACCCTCTAAGAAAATAAAAGGTGGGTGGAAGTAGCCAGTACTTGCCCTCTGAGAAAATAGAGGGCGGGTGGGCGGGTTTAGTACTGGTTAAGATAAGATTGATTTTGGTAATTGACATATCTTCTAAGAAAAAAAAAGGGTGGGTGGGCGGGGCTAAAACTTACTAAGCTAGGACTGAACAATATTAGGAGTAGTCACTGGAACGAAGAAGGGGTGGGTGGGCGGGGCTACTGATTCCTCATAAAACTAGAAAAAAGTTGAATTTAGCCCCGTCCACCTCCTTTCTCGATTTCACTGACTTATTAATGGAGTGAATTTTTTGGAGCCACCTGTTTAAGCAAATCTAAAAAATATGAATGCAACGATGGTCATGGGCGAAAGAAATATTGTGATAATGAATGTGTTGTCTAGTTGTTAAACGTAGCAAAAGAACCAATTTTAAAATCATTTTCCAGACCCGGTATGCTTACCTCAAACAGCGAGGTTAAATCCTTAACCTAATTTTGACGACCACAGCAGAATGCAATTTTTCGTAGTAGATTGAATTTGAGAGTTATTCTTATGCATTTTGTGGAAGTAACTTAATCGTGCCTGAGTTTTAAACATTTTAATAGATTTACGACCTTGAAAAAGAGAAGTAGTAAATTTTGGAGTTCCAGCCTGACGAAAAACGCCATTTGTGGCCCGTCCGCTCTCGGCGTAACCCTTCACTGTTTTACAGCGCCGAGCTAGAGTACCACGGTGGTTCCATCGAGGACGCCACGGTGGAAGAAACCACCGCCGGTTTCGCCATCGTCATCAACGGCCACTCTTTGGTCCACTGCCTCCACCCCCAGCTCGAGCGGCTCTTTCTCGACGTGGTGATGCAGTGCAAGTCTGTGATTTGCTGTCGCGTCACGCCCCTCCAGAAAGCCTTGGTCGTCGAACTGATCAAGAAAAATCGACACGCCGTCACCTTGGCCATCGGCGACGGCGCCAACGACGTTTCGATGATCAAAGGTACCAACACGACTGAGCGCGCGCGCATCACTATACCACGTATTTTTTCGTAGCGGCCCATATTGGCGTCGGTATCTCGGGTCAAGAGGGAATGCAGGCGGTCCTAGCCTCCGATTACTCGATAGCCCAGTTCAGGTTTCTGGAGAGGCTGCTGCTGGTCCACGGTAGGTGGTCCTACTACAGGATGTGCAGCTTCCTGAGGTACTTCTTTAACAAGAATTTCGCTTTCACTCTGTGCCACTTCTGGTATGCGTTCTTTTGCGGGTTCAGCGCCCAGGTAAGACGGTGGTGGAAACTTGAACTAGTTTTGACTCGGATTTTTTAGACTGTTTTCGACCCAATGTATATATCGGTGTATAATCTTTTCTACACGTCGTTACCCGTCCTAGCCGTCGGCATTTTCGACCAAGATGTCAACGATAAGAATTCGGTACTCTACCCGAAGTTGTACAGGCCCGGACACTACAATTTGTTTTTTAACAAGAAGGAATTTTTTCGGAGTGCCATGCAAGGATGCTTCGTGTCGATCGTCTTGTTTTTCATTCCTTTCGGTGAGTGAAAATTTCGCGTTTCAGACAACTAGAATAAACAATCTTTGGTAGGCACTTACTACGACGCGGTGAGCCCCAGCGGTCAAGGCTTGTCCGACTACATGTTGTTCTGCGCAGTCGCAGCCGCCATTTTAGTCATCGTAAACACCGCCCAGATCGCCCTCGACACCTACTATTGGACCGTTTTCAACCACATCATGATCTGGGGCTCTCTGGCTTTCTACTTCGTCGCCGACTACTTCTACAATTACGTGATCGGCGGACCGTACGTCGGCTCGTTGACCAAAGCCATGTCCGAGGTGAACTTCTGGTTCACGGCGGTCCTCTGCGTGACGATTTCCGTCATGCCGGTCCTGGCCTGGCGCTTCTACTTCGTCGACGTTTCGCCCACTTTGTCCGACAGGGTGCGTCTGAAGCAGCGCTTGGCGCAGGTGCGTTCCAGGCACAGCCAGGACGTGCTGCGCACGCCGTCGGCGCGAAGGGCGCGCCGGTCCATCCGGTCGGGCTACGCGTTCGCGCACCAAGAAGGCTTCGGTCGGCTCATCACCTCAGGTAAGATCATGAAGAAGCTCCCCAACGCGGACTTCAACATCCCGAATATCATCGGCAAGCTAAATATGAACTCGGGCGGGAGCAGCAACGCGGCCGCCGCCCCCAAGACGGCGCCGCAGTCGCAGGAGAGCAACAGCAGCGGCAGGGCCCCCATACAGGATCTCGACACGATTAATCTATGAAACGAGGGGGTTTTTTAAGCGCTTTTTTAAGAAAATCTCTTTTTAAGATGTTCTGTTAGGGTTTTAGCACATGTTACGTTTTACAACAAGAGGAGAATGTTTAATGTTTTTATTGTGAGGGGACTTTTGCGCCTACGTTTAAGTATTTTGCTAATGTGATTTTTCACTTAATAGTATTTGTACAGTATCAAGAATTGTTTTACGTTATTAGACTTACCGCTGGGTTGTTGAGGTGTCAATTGGCAATGCGATGTCGGACACTCGTCACTCTTACACAAGACAGCACAATTTGAATATCGGTTTTACGTAAAACATGACACGGACGGTCGTTGTGTAAGTTCTGTTATCTTGGTGCCAAATATTTAGAGATCTGTCAAATTGAGTGTTCAGCGGCTACTTAAGTTGGAATTTGACACCTTGATTGAATCAAAGCGTGGATGTTATGCTTCTACTAGTCAAAGTATGTTTAATGTTGTCTTAAGAGAAATTTTCTTTATTACCAAGTTATACAAAATATATATGCTTTTGTTTTTTATTATAAAAATAAATTTATTTTTTCTGTACTTTTATTAATTAATCATTGTACCAATCCAAAAATAACAACGAAAACGACATAACCAATAGGAAGAACAACACCCAAACCCGCAACCCGGCATTCCTTTGAATAGCCTGACGGATCTGCTCATTAGCGTCCTTCATATTACTAGTAGCACCCACCACAGAATTAGCAATCCGTTCGATATCCTGCTCCTGTTGTAATACTTTCTCCGTAAACAACTCCTGTAACTCCGCTATATGCACGACTTTACTCTCCATTTGCTTCACCTCTTCAGACGTCGCGTTTAACTCATTAAAGAGCATCTCGTTCTCGGACTCAAACATCTGCATTTCTTCTACAGACAACTCGTCCTCGATGTTCACAGGAGGCGTCGTCGGTGACGGCAGCGGCTTTTTAATCTCCCCCTCGTGCTTCCCAATAGTTTCCAATTTCGCTACCTTGTGTGTCTCCAACACACGCTTCACCCTCACCGCTTTCGTTTCAGTATAAATTTTACTAACACTTTTCAAATAGCGCTCCAGTGACTCAATCACCCCACTATAGTGCTCCTCGCGCTGCCTACTCTTCGCCACCTTCGCGATTTCCTTTTTATATTCACCAATTAAAGCGGTACAAGCGTTCACGATTTTCTCAGCCGTGCTATCAATCTGCTCCCTATCCACCTCCGTCATGGTTTTATTAGTCGACAAGTAATTCAAAACGTTCAAATAGGCGGCTTTGTGCTCAAGCAAGAAGCTCTGAAGGTAGGTGATTTGCTTCACCACCTCTTTCGCGGTAGCTAAGTTGGCATCTTTAGGGTTAACTTTAAGGAGAGTAGGCTTGGCTTCTTTAACCCCGAGTGCTTTGTTTGTAGTCCGTACCGTTTTAACACAAGCTTTGAATAAAATTGTAATGTCCATGTTGAGGTGACCTAACCTAAAAATTACAACGGCGTTATTATTACCGAACAGGCGCAAACGGGATTTGCTTTAGTACTTAACAAATTGCGTGCGGAATTTTGCTAGTATTGTCTTTTAGTTCTACATTATAAATAAATAAGTTGTATTGTCGCAATGACACTGTTGACAAGTGACATATGACGTCACCCTAGAATGGATCTTTAGTGATTTTTTGTTTACTTTAAAAACAGGCGCGAAGTATGAAAGTCAATTTCTTGTCATTTTCAATGACCGTACACTAAATTTAGTAGAGCTAATAGGGCTTTCCTTGACACTACAGGGTCATCGAAATTGATTGATGACTGTTTTTGTCGTGAAGTTTGTCAACCTTATGACAGATTTGTTTAAGGTTATATGGCAATGAATTCAGTGGCGTGACAAAAATTCGAAACTTCAAATCTGACAACTAATGTTTTTACAAAAAAAAAGTCGAAAAAAGACGCCACTGAGTTTTGAAATTTGAAACTTGAAACTTCAAATCTGACAGCTAATATTTTTATACAACTTAATAAACCAAATTATTCAAGTTCAGGTTTACCAACTCTCTCAATCAATTTTGATGACTCTGTAGAACCAAAAAGCTAAAACAAGAAGGAAACATTAGTGTTATAGTAGTTCCGGTGATTTCTTGACAGTTGACATGTAAGTTGGCAGCAACCGAACACTACAAAATGCGCTGAAATTCCTACGCCGTCACTGTCTCTGTTACAAATGTAAAACTACTGAAATTCCTTTACTTTTTTCTTAATCCGTAGTCAACAAGACACTTAAAACATTTTTAAAATGATAAATTCGATATGGAAATATCGATTTTGCAATTACGCTCCGCCCCTCGATTTGACAACCAATGAAAAATTCATCACGATGGAGATCGAGACGGATGGGTGGGGCTTCTGTTTTGGGTTTCTCTTGTAATTAATACACGCTGACTTAAGAACAATTTCACATTGTAATTTCTGGCAGAAAAGTAAAGATTTTGCAATTAACCTCCGCCCCTCGGTTTACGACGAATAAAAAAAATCATCAGAATTGAGATAGGGTGGGTGGGCGGGGCTTACATTTTGCCTGTTTTTTCTTAATATACCTAACCATCTTTTCACAACACGAAACTTAGAACATGGTTAAAATGGTACATTTTTGCAAGGAAATATGGATTTTGCAATTATGGGTCGGAGCAAAATGTAAGCCCTCCCACCCACCCTGTCTCAATTGTGACGATTTTTTTATTCGCCGTGAACCAAGAGGGCGGAGCGTAACTGCAAAATATTTATTTCTGTACAACAAATGAAAAATATGTTTTTGAGTATTGTGTTGTTCAAAGAATACTATGTATATTAAGAAAAAATGGACAAAATATTAATCCCGCCCACCCACCCCATCTCAATGTGATGATTTATTTTTACAAGCTTAAAACACTTTTGAAATGGTAAATTTTTGTAAGAAAATACGGATTTGGCAATTAGGCTTCGCCGCCCCTAAGTCTTGCCAACGAATGAAAACTTCATTACTATTCAGATCAGGGCGGGTATGGGTGGAGCTTAATCTTTGGCTTTAATTTTTTCTTAGTGTATGTTCATAGTATTCTTTGATTAACACGATACTCAAAAAGATGATTTACATAAAGATAATAAAGGGTTTTGCAATTAAATTCTTCGACGATTAAAAAAATCATTACTTATTTCTTTACAGGGAATTAAAAACATATTTTTGAGTATCGTGTTGTTCAAAGAATGCCCTGTATTTTAAGAAAAAAGGCAAAATAATGGGTCACCTCAATTGTGACGATTCTTAGAAACTTAAAACACGTTTAAAATGGTAAATTTCGTAAGGAAATTTGGATTTTGTAATCAGGCTCCGCCCCTAGCTCCGCTAACGAATGAAAATTTCATGCAGTATATCGGGGCAGATAGGGGTGGGACTTAATCGCGAATTAACTTTAATTTCGCTTTCTATAAACTGGGTCATAGTATTCTTTAAACAACAGGATATTCAAAAACATGTTTTTAATTTCTAGTAGAGAAATAAAGATTTTGCAGTTAAGCTCCGCCCTCTTGGTTCACGACGAATAAAAAAATCGTCACAATTGAGATAGGGTGGGTGGGTGGGGCTTATACTTTGTCTTGGTTTCTTAAAATGTAAAGTCGTCTTTTCACAACAAGAAACTTAAAACATTTTTAAAACGGTAAATTTGTATAGGGAAGTATCGATTTTGTAAATGCTCCGCCCCCCGGTCTGACAACGAATGAAAAGTTTATCACGATTGAGATCGAGACGGATGGGTGGGGCTTCTCTTTTGGTTTTATTTTTTAATTAATAACTACATTTAGTTTTCTTCGTATAACACGATTACTTAAGAACACATTACGCATGGTAATTTCTCATAAAAAAAATAAGGATTTTACAGTTAAGCTCCACCCATCAGCTTAACGATGAATAAAAAAAAATCATCAGAATTGAGATAGGGCGGGTGGGTGGGGCTTATATTTTGCCTTTTTTCTTAATATACGTAGTCGTCTTTTCAGAACAAAAACTTAAAACATTCATATAACAAACATAAAATGGACCTTGCAATTAAGCCCCGCCTTTCGAACTGACAACGAATGAAAAACTCATCACAATTGAGAATTGAGATCGGGGCGGATATGGGTGGGGCCTAATCTTTGGCTTTATTTTTTCTTAATATACATCGTATTCTTTGAACATGTTTTAATTTCTCGGAGAGGCACAAGGATTTTGCAGTTAAGCTCCGCCTTCTTGGTTCACAACGAACAAAAAAAAAAAAAAAAACAATCGAGACAGGGTGGGTGGGCGGGGCTACATTTTGTCTTTTTTTCTTAACATGTGTAGACTTATTTCGATAACAAAAAAAACGTCTTTTTCTACAACCCCTTTAAATACGGCAAAAGTTGACCATCAAAGTTACTAAAAACGGCAACTTGGCAACGGTTCTATGTACATATATGTAAAAATGATAATAGACATCGTTTTTTGTTATTAAGAGACTTTTTTGGAGCAAAAACATGAACTCGATGGAATTCATTTTCGTATCGTAAAGTTATGGCTCCTAGACAAAACTCACTTCGAAAATTCTCGAGTAACGTAATAGTTATTTATTCAACTAGTTGGGTAATGACAGCGATTAACGATCGAGCAATTAAAATAGGCGAGATGGTTAATCGCCATTACCCCACGTGTTGATTACAATATTTTTTCGACGATTGTAATTTTCGAAAACAGCATTAAATTGGTATGCAACCAACGATAGTTTGAGATTTCTGTCGAGTTTATTTTATTTAAATTTGTTTCACAATACATTTTTGATTAAAAAAAAACAACCTGTTGAATCAACTTGTAAATATCGCGTTAATTTTAAAAAACTTTGAAATTGAAACAACAATCTTTATTAGATTGATGATTAGATACAATACATTGACATTTCTGTCGACTTTAGTTTAATCGTTGACTAATGAAACTCATTATTGATCAATTTTGAACACCAAATTTGTTCGTAATTTTCACATTAATAAACGATCGTCGGAAAAACTTATTTTTCAAAGCGCTTGAGATTGGATTCATTTCGAAGTTTCAAATTTCGCGCGGATGGTACACTTTTCTTCGCGTAGATTTTTAGTGACTTTTCTGTCAATCAATCCCTCCACCACGGACCTCTCGCCGCCGTAGTTCATACTTATAGGAACTGTTCTGTGGTATAGTCAGTTATAATAGTGTTCTGTGGTTACAACGTCACAGCGACAACAGCGTCATTCGCACGATTTCAAAAACATAACCTCAAAATGTGCACGCGTGAGGACTCCATAATTTCGCATTTAATTAAAAATTTGCACCTGTTGGTGCTCCCGTCGACGCTGTGGGCCGTCCACGTCGACCCCAAACAAGAGTTTCTAGTGATTTTGCACGTGAAAGCCAGCAGCGACAAAGTGACAGTGGATAAGGGGGTCCTCCTCACCACCGAAAACTTCTCTCTAAAAACCTCAGTGTCCGTAAACGAGGAAATCGTGCAGCTACCAATCGCTTCAAAAATAGAAACAATGTCGGACTTAACTAACCTCATCTACAGCCTTCATGATATCAAGATGTGTTTGAACGCAAACGCCAGCCCCAAGTGCTCCAAATACATCTTGAATGGCACGTCGAGCTTGTGCGATTTCTGCTCGTTTGAAGGTAGGTGCATAAATTGACTTCAACTTTAATTTTTAAGGGGTTTGTAGTTTTCAGCGAAACTTGCAGAGAGGTTAATCCGGTTCCGGCGACAGGATTCTTAGAGACAGTTAATTTCCAAAACGGTGTAGAAGGGCGTTCGCAACAAGCAAAAAACCATCTGTGTACCACCTGTGGCAAGAGGTTTTCGTGTTTGTGGGGGTTGGAACACCACATGTTGACGCACGCGCCCCCAGACGGAAAACCGTTCAAGTGTATAGTGTGCATGAAGTCGTTCGCCAAGAAGTACAACTTGAATGTGCACACGCGCGTTCATTCTGGTAAATAATGACCCAATTGTTTTGTTTTTTTTGAAAATGGTTTTGTAGGTGAGAGACCGTACGTTTGTAATATGTGTGGCAAAACTTACTCCACTCGGAGCAACCTAACCACACACATGAACAGCGCCCATCGTGACGAGAAAAAACACCACTGCGACCTGTGTGAAATGACTTTCGTGCATCCGCGCGTGTTGCGAATTCATATGAGGAAACACACCGGCGAGAAACCGTTCATGTGTCAGATCTGCGGCAAAGTGTTTGCGAAGAATATTCATCTGACTATTCACACGAGGACTCACACTGGGGAGAAACCATACATGTGTTCAATTTGTGGAAAGGCTTTTACAACCTCTGGTAATCTCAATTCTCATGTAAAAATCAACCACAAAATGTAGACGTTCAGGTAAATCAAGAATAATTTATTACAAAAAGAAACCATTAAAGCTGCATTGTTTAGTGCTCACTTAAAAAAATATAAAAAAGACGAATATTGACAATGTAAAGCTTAAATATATATTTCTTATTAAATATTATAATTAACATAAATTAACGAATCTCTTGTCTGATGAAGAGCCGACAAGAGACTTTTAAATATTGGTAGTAAACACAATTAAGAATCCTAGAAAGTTTTCCTATGTACCGCTCTTTGTCCCTCTTCGTCGAACTCCCTCTTCGACACCACCATTTTCTTGAACGTATCTAACGAAGCCAAAATCGAGCCGCCGATCCACGTCGAGTATAACCGTTCCTGAGGCGCCGAAATTTTAATTTGGACGTCCTTCGGCGACAACTTTTTTATTTCAGACAAGAGTCGGTCGCCGAATCCTTTGAATAAAGTAGACCCTCCTGAGAGAACTATATTTTTGAATAGGACTTTCCTCAAGTCCAGATCTGACTTCTGTATGGAGTACACAAGGACTTCGTGAAGGCCTTGACACTCTTCGCCAATCAAGTCGGGCCGGAAGAGGACTTCCGGTGCTCGGAAGCGCGCCGGCCCGATTGGAATAACATTACCATCAGGGAGAGTATAATTGATGTGCTCGGTATCCACAGATTCTTCTTTAAGGGCGTTATTCGCTAAGTAACAGGCTTTCTCTTTGATGGTTCGAACGGTTTCAAATTCAGCCGTAGTGCGAAAATTGATTCCTTCTTTACGTAAAAGGAGGCGTAAGTAGCGGGAGATGTCACGTCCAGCTATATCTACTCGCATGATACTGTGAGGCATTGCGAAACCTTCGTAAATAGGCACTGCATGGGTAACCCCGTCCCCTGAGTCCAGGACTACGCCCGTAGTCCGACCAGTGGAATATCTATCCAAAAATAAACACACATGTAGAAATTTTACTCAAGTTTGACTTAACCTCACTAATAATTATTTTACTTACAAACTAAGTACAGCCTGCATAGAAATGAACAAAGCGGGCACGTTAAACGATTCGAATAAAATCTCAGCTGCTTTCTCTCGATTCGGTCTCGGATTTAAAGGCGCTTCTGTTAACAACACAGGGTGTTCCTCTGAAAAAATCGACAGTTGGTCTTTGCTATAAATGTAGCTCCAAATTTTCTCCATGTCGTTCCAGTCCGTGACGATTCCGTGCTCCATGGGGTACTTTATTGCTAACAAACCCCGGTGTTCTTCCGCCTTGGGGCCTATGAAGACGTCGCCCTCCAGGGCTCCAGCCATCACCCTGACGTGCTTGGGCCTGCCAATACTGTTAAAATTGTGCATGTCACGGGATTTTCAAGTGTGAGAAAGACTTACTAGTTTGGAAATCTACATTGGGGGATTTGCTCGCCCGCAAAACCCGCTTTGATAACCCCAGATCCCTGCACGAAAGTGATATTAATAGGGGGTGAGCTTTGTGGAGGGAATACCTACATTGTCTATCACAACCGGCTGATTTACGAGAACATCGTAAGTTTCCATTTTTTGAGAGAATTGTTATAATTGTTACGTTACACGCCTAGGGATGACTTCACGGACTTAAACAAACGTCAATGTCAAGGAGTCATGACGTTGACGTTTGAAACGCGAAAGTCACTAGATCTGGTTACTTTGTTGTTGTTGTTGGGGAATTTGTATTTGTAATGCTTAATGACACTAGAGAGCCCCAATTAATTATAAACTTTATTCTTAACCAAAAATATAATCATTTACAACTCTTCTCTAATCATTCCACTCGCATCCGCCATATCAATCTCTATGGTCATACTCATGTCGCTAGCGCCCATCGACGGTGACTGGGTAATCCCAGACGGTTCCCCGTTCCCCAAAATTTTCGGTTCTATGTCGAACTTCGGTATATGATCAGGGGCACCTGGATAAGGGGGCTGCTCTTCAGCTAATTGCTCGATCACATAGTTCAGCATCGTCGTACAAAACGAATCATCATTCTTCAGCCCTAAAGCTTTATGAAACCAATCTGCCGCCTCTTCCGTGTGCCCGATCAAAGCGTGGGTAAAGGCGATAGCTGAGTACGTGCTAGGGGACTGCGGTGACAGCAGCAGCGCCTGGTGGTGAAACTCCAAAGCTTCATCATACTTTTCAAGTTTACGACACGTGTGGCCTAAATTATTCAACAAAGACTCCCATCGTTTGGGGATTAAATCAGACTTGACTCTCCTAATGCGGTCTAAAGCGTCACGGAAGTGTTTTTCGGCCATTTTGTAACTAAAACACTTAATTTGGAAACACGACTTGACTTAATAAATACATACTTCATGTTTTGGAACGCTATAACACCCATTTCGTGCATGACGAAAGGGTCATCGGGGGCTATATTTTGTGCCTGTTTGAAAAATTTTTCCGCTAGTTCGGTATTGTTGGTGAGACCACACTCTAAACCTATGTAGAGAAGGGGCAAGTGGCAACCTTTCATCAATTGAGACGCTTTAAAGTAAGCTGCCATTGCTTGATCATGTTCGTTTTCTATAGCAAAAGAGTGACCATAAGCTAACCAAGCCGGACCAAAAAGTCGGTCTAAAGAAGTAGCTTTGGCAAGATAGCGTCTAGCGAAGTCGCTTTTACCGATTATGTAATAGTAACAACCTACTGCAAACCATGAAACTGCCATTGTTGGGTATAAATCGACTAAATTGTGAGCCAGTGAAAACAATTCTGGAAAAAAATTGTTAAGCAAGAATTTGACAAATGGGGGTCTTACTATTGCTTTGTTTAAGCTCCACTTGGCATGCTACATGTACAGGTAAACAACCACTATGAAATGGGTCCTCTTTCAAAATGGCTTCTGTTAATTCAATGCATTGTTGATAATCACAGTTGTAGTAAAGTCTTTCGGCGTCAGCCACCTGTAAATCTAAACTACCCTTTAATTTTAATAGAATGATTTTATCACACCCTTCCATGTGCATTTGCTCCGCTTTTATTTCATTCATAATTAAATTTTTGTCGTTGTTTCTGGCTACAACATTCGGAGTACTTAGTGAGGTTGGTGTGACCACCACATTTGGAGTATTTGGTAGCGACGATACATGCAATGAAAGAACTTCCGGTGGAATTTTATTACCCAAATTGGGATCAGCCACCGGTGTGTGATACTTCTTCAACTTGCTTTCGTACAAAGTGAGTACAATTTCGGCCTCTTCACTGTTACATTGTTGATTAAGAGGCAAAGAACTCAGCAGATCTTTTTCTAAAAACCACAAAAATATCACGGTTTAAAAAAAAAAAAAATTACCTTCGCTCGCTGTCAACATTTGGTACTTAATTAAAGAATCAAACGCTTCATAACAATACACATCATACTGTAACGCCTGCTTGTAACACTCAGCTGCAGGCCCCCGATTATCCATACTTTCCAGAAGCTTGCCTTTCAACAGGAACACGGAGGCAAAAACTTGCTACAATAATTCCACTATTAACCCGTCATTACAAATACCTAACTAACATTTTTCGGCGTATCATCAAACAGCATCGACTCCGCCGCCAAAGGAAACTGTGCAGAAACACTCGTAGTATGTACTAATAAATCCAAATCAAGCGAATCAATCACTTGTTTGGCCTCATTCAACTCATTAGCTTCCAACAAACATTTCACAGTCAGACAATTGCACAAAATGTAACTTTTATCCAAATTTCGAGACCTCAATAAATGCGAAGCCCTGTGGTACTGCTTCAACAGAAACATGCATTGGGCCAACCAGTACACATCTCGGGGGTTATTGGTCAAAGTAACCACTTTATCGGCCCAAAATAACGCCGCTTGGTAGGCATGCTAAAACCGAAAAAATGAGGTTAGGTTACTTTAGTTGCGCGTATTACCAAATCGAGATAAGTTTTCACCAATTTTCTGTAATTATCCACGTTAATGCACGTGGATGTTGCCGTTTTCATAGTTTTGGAATTTCGGTCGAAATTTGAAATTCGCCTTTGAGGTTATGTTTGGCTGTGGTTTTCGAATTAAACCAATTGACGTACTTGCAACCAATCACCGAGGAGAATGGTGTCACATGACGCGCAATAAATGTCAAAGGGGAGCAACGACGTATGAAAAATAGACAGCCGCACTTCACCCTAATAATAAATAATTATAATAAAAGCGCTATTATTTCTCTCAATTATTTATTATTATAGTAGTGCGAAGTGATTACACAAAGATAATCTCGTTCAGTGGAATAAAAAACACATAAATAAAATCACATAAATAAATGCAGCATTTTAACTTAACAAATCCATAATGTCGTCCTTCGAAAGAACGTTACCACCCACACTCGGTCCTGGAATCAAGGGTTGCTTCTGCGCCATCATTTGATTCATCGGTACTTTAGCGCCGCCCCCGGCCCCACCAAGCGGCAAAAGCTTATCCAAAGAATCCCAATTAGTCTGAGGCGCGTTATTATTACTCCTGTTCAAATTAAACTGACTATTCTGGTTGCTGCTCCACGGATTCGGCGGAGACGCGAAATTCGTCTGCGCCCCACCCATCCAATTCCCGCCACGCCCACTAAACCCGTTGTTGCCCCCACCCGGACTCGTCACATTAGCGTTCGACCAATCGGAAATGAGCGTCAACGACAGATCCTTCGGAGGCGTGGCCACACTAACCGGTTTGACCGGTTCCAAAGCCGGCTGATTCTGAAACGCCTTAAACGTGTCTTGTTGTTGCGCAACTTTTTGCTTTTCTTGTAAACTCATAGAAACGAACGAGTCTAAACCTAACCCAGTGAAAGCTTGATCCAACTCCGCTGGTTTTTTTGTGGGTTGGTACGCCGGGATGGTCGCTGCCAACACTTTCTGCTCGTCTTTGACCGAATTCAATTGTTCTAGTTTAGTGCGGTGCTCGGTTTCGACGAGCTGGAACATTTCTTTGACTAGAGTTACTAGAGCGTTGAATTGGGATAGAGTGAGACCGTTCTCGATACATAAGGGTATGAGGAACGGTAAGATTCTTGTGGCGATTACTTCCTTACTTATACCTAGTTTTTTGTGATTCATTGCCAACTTGTAGATGCCTAAAATCCCCATTAAGACGGCGGGTTCTCGCGATGGAATCTGTGGAAGGAATGGGAGAACCTCGTCGAGGACTAACCACTTGTCTAAGTGTTCGAGAAGTCGGCCTACACACAATAAACAGTTGACTCTCACTGAGAGACTTGATGTTGATAAGCAGAGGCGTTTGATTCGTGGTAGGAGACTGTTTTTGACGTTGGAATGGTCTAGAAGACCCGCGAAAGTTGGCAACACTGATAAGCAAAGTTCGTGGATTTGGGGGCTGTCGGAGTCCAAGCCTCTATACAACATTGGTAGAACGTGCTGTTGGATGTCTTCAGCGGGGGTCAGTTTTAACAATAGTTCCATTTTTTGCAACATTATTAGTAAAATCTGTGAGAAAAATAGTTACTTCCCCTTCAGCCGCCATTACGTGATACGTACCTGGATTGGCTCCATCAGTTTCATGACGGGTTTTAAGTGGGGGAGAATGTGCGTGCAATATTCGTCCTTATTACACTCCTGCGCTATGTCTAGGATACTAGGAAGGACGAAAGGGACCATCGCGGGTTGGGATAAGTCACGGGAGAGACAGGACAGGACTCTTTGGACTTTAACTCGATGGGGGAGCTTGGGGAGGGCTTCCGGGAGCCCTTTATAAAACTGAGATTTTTGCAAATTGTCCCACTGGAGAAGAGAATCTAAGTACGTCAGCGTTTTAATACCAACGTCATCAAAATATGGAATCTATTAAAAAAAAAACACAGTGAATACCAACTTGAAAACTAAAAATACCTACTTTAGTAAATTGATGCGCATCCGGTCTCAACTCTGGAGTAAAATTCAACAACAACTTAACATACTCTCGTAGCGCCTCTGGAATACATTGCAACTTCCCTAGATTCAAATTCTTCAACTGTTGCGCCCTCGCTCGAAACTGTTGAAGATCCCTAATTGGCGTAAAACTCTGATTCCCGGGCGAATTCAACACGTACGCCAACATCCCCACCGAAAACATGTCACTACCAGCTGAATGCGTCTGATTCAAAACACACTCGGGCGCCAGAAACTCTAAATTGCTCTGACACACATCTGGAAGCGTCGGCGAAAACCCCTCGCACGGATACACCGGGGGTAAATTCGCCGGGTTCGTATTGTGCACGCAAAAATCCAACCCAAAAATCTTCCAAGCCCCCTGATTGTTGATAATCACGCTTTCCGGACACACGTTCTTGTGCAACAACTTCACGTCGTTGTGCAAGAAGGCAAGCCCCTCACTGATTTGTAGCAACCCGTATTTAATTTCCACATCGAATAATTTGTAGTCGGACATGTTTGCCGGCTGCGGCATGTTTGTGGTTTTCCCTAGAACATTGGCCAGACTCGCAAAAACCGGCTCAGTTGCAAATGCAAGACTCTCGCGACTTTCTTCTAGCGGGTGCTGGACGGTTAGAATTTGGGGGTGACGGATTTTCGTGAGTTGAGTGACACCGCGGCGCAGACTTTCCAGAATGATTTCTCGGTCGGATTTGTTCCATTTTTCCAATTGGCGCTTCTCGAAGACGAAAATTGACGCTTCTTGTTTAGTGGAGCGCTTGTAGCCTTTGTAGATTTTCCAAACTAGGCCTGGGGATGAATGGGTTAGAGTGAATCGAGAGGGTTGTAGGGGGTACCTGGGCCTGCGGATGCAATGTGGGTGGTTGCGTCAAATTCGCGAGTGACTGGATTTCCGGGTAGGACCCCCGATAATTGAGACACAGTGCTGCTAACAGAACTACTCACTTGTGAATATAGTTTATTGAAAACTTCCATTTTTCGAGAATGATTAATTATTTATTTATTGCACAATTGACATTGTTGACATTTGTTTGACGTTATTGACACATGGGTGGTGTGAAAGCGCATGCGCACAAATCTAACCTCAAACTTTGTTTATTTAGAAATGTCGGAATATGATAAAGTTCGCCCTGGAAAACTCGTCCTCAAGGGCGAAAAACACAAGTAAGTAGTACGTTTCGGGTTAATTTTGTTACAATAGAGTGTCTAGGGCGAAAAAACGCAAACATAAAAGCAAGCGAGTGGATGCAGCCCCTAGAGTCGACCCCGACTGTCTCGTCCACGGCAACTGGTGGAAAGTCACAAAAGTCGAAGAAATCACAGGTCCCGTGGCCATAGAATTCGGGAAACACACATATGTGAAAGCCCTCGATAATGGTTTGTTTACACTGGGGGCCCCACACGACGAAGGCGACGGTCCCTCGCCTGAAGAAATCTTGACTGCGGTGTTAATCGACGAGCGCAAAGTTGCGTTTAAATCGGGTTATGGCAAGTACTTGAGGGTCGAAAAAAACGGGGTTGTTACAGGGCGCTCAGATGCTATTGGTGTGATGGAGCAGTGGGAGCCCGTTTTTCAGGTATGTGTTGTATGGGGGTGATCATAGAGTGAGGTTTTCGTTGCAGGAGGGTAAAATGGCGTTACAAAGTTACACAGAGGGTTTTATGAGTATTCAAGATGATGATGATGCTGTGGTGGCTGTTGATAAGAAAGCGGGGGCTGATCATATGTTGTACATTAGGTCGCAGACTGTCAAGGACGTGAATCCGCTCAAGGACGTTCCTGTGGAGGAGCAGGGGGACCTTGAACAAGTGGAAATTAATTATGTGTAAGTGGATTGTAACTGTTACACATTTGTTTAATTAAATTGTGTTGGTTGCAGTAAAAAATTCCAGAAATTCCAAGACAAGCGCCTGCGCATTTCAAAAGAAGACACTTCGAATTTGAAGAAGGCCAAAGACGATGGGACGTTCCACGAGGCGCTGCTGGACAGGAGAAGTAAGATGAAGGCGGACCGATATTGTAAATAATGCAGTTTCTAATGGAATTTATTCATTTTTCTAAACTTATCTTGTAGATTTATTTTACAACAAAAAAAAAAAAAAAATACAAAATTAACTGTCAGTGAGTTTTATGTGAAATAATACCAAATCTTACACTTATTACAATAAATTAACTAAATCAGTTCGTTCTGAGTTACATTTAGAGACGGGATCTAAACATAAGATTTATTATTACACATTTTGTGATGACGATACATTGATTTTAAAATTTTTAACTGGAAGTAGCTAAACTCTTGTAAAGTGTTGAAAATATAATGAAATGTAAACGATTGCACTTCCAGTAAAATTGATGAACTGGGCTATGTATAATCATGGTTCTGTAACAAAATAATTTACAGCAAGTTAAAAAAAATACTTAGATGACTAAATCTCAACTTATGGCGGCTTTAGCTCTTGACGTTTTCAACCATTCTACAAATTCGTCTAACATTACCGGCCCTGGAACGACGTTTGTGTTATTTTAAAAAAACGTGAAAGCGGGGTACTTACAAGCTCCATCCACATCGTAATTGGATAAATCATTGTAGATGGTCCGCGAAAATTCGAGGATATTACACCACTGGTCCTTATTTATAACTTTGTACTTTGACTGATCAAGGAACTGACTGAACTGTGTGTACAACGCCCAATGTTTCCCCAACAAGAGCTGAAGCATCGCCTTGGCGGTCTCCATGTCCATGCTCCTTTGATCCTTATCCTGAAACGACATCGTGAAATTCGGTACCACCACGCCACCGACTCACCCTAGCAAAGTCATACGCATATCGATAAATGGCCTTAAATATATTTTGATCGTTTAAAAGACATCGTAAATAATCCAGTCTGTACTGTAGTTTCTGTATTGAATCACACTGCATCTCGCCTAGCCCCTTCAGCCACTCCTCCTTCGTGAAGAACCCCATCTGCCTCGCCTGCATTTTAAACGCTAAAACTAACATCACGACGTTCTCGGGCTCGACTCCGATGTCCTCGCAGAACTTCTCCATGCCTTCGGGGCCTAACGTGTCCGGGTCGTCCGGTGTCGTGTACTCCCTGAACCATGCCAGACACCGTTTCTGACTGAAAGACTGCGCCTCCTCCACGCGGGACACTCTGCGAGAGCTGGAAAAATCCACACTTTTTTCCACTCCTCTTGTTCAACTCGAAAACCACACAAAAACCTACTCTTCATCGTCCATACAGATGTCAAGAGCAACCGTCAATGAAACGTAAGTTTTATAAATAAAAGCAGCGGGATGACGAGGTAAAAATAGTACGCGCTCATGGTCGGGCCACTTTCCAAACAGTGGCTCCAAAATGTGGGATTTGGAGCGGTTTGACGTATTTACGCGTTGTGTAACAGGTGGCCGTGATCGCCCGAAACGATTTTTTGCCACGGGGTCTGCGGCCGGCAAAAGACGCGGTTTTACCGCGTTTTACAAAGAGTCACTTTTGTCTAAAAAACGCCAACTGGAGCAACAGAAAAAATTGTTTAGCCCATGCAAAAAAGTGATGACGTCAGCCCAAAATTTTGCTCTGAATCCCTCCTAAGATCCTCAAACTATTATGCGCACTTCGAGTTATAATTTTCTTGCGTGTTCCCTATTGTTTTGAGGTAAATATAATCAGTCTTGTGGGCGACGGATTAGTCAGCAGGTGGTGGCAGACCGCTCCCATCCGTTTCATTGACGGTCCCCGTAGTTGCATACTTATCGAAACAAGAGATTAAAAACAAAAATTTCGAAAATGCAAATGTTCACTTTCGCACCACTGAGACAACTTTCCAGCTAAACTATTTTGAGTACGTCGCATGCGGAGTTATTTATGGCACAAGTGAATAAGGCTGATTTTCACGAGTGCCACACGAATTTGTCTCAGGTCCTTTTCAATTACTACTTACAATTTTGTCACTTTAACTGCAGAGCGTAAGTATAAAAATAAATTTGTGGTTTATGAATCCGTGTTGAGTTTTTATCCTACACGTTCATATTTTTACAATTTAACTTTGAAACTGCAAAACTGAATGAAATCTTGCAAACGTTTTAAGGTTATCGTAAGCAAAGCATAAGCATTTTCTCTTTTAATAATTTAGTTTCACAGGGACACTGACGAGTAATTTTTAAGAATACTTAAACGTGCTCGCTGCGCTCGCACTCTTACTATTCTTTTTTACAATGATGCGGTTTCAAAAATTTTTAGACCCCTTTTTAAGCTAGGAAACCCGACCCAAAAAAAATCAGTAAACTGAGGTCAATAATAAATAAAAATATCAAGGTAAAATTTTTTTAAGTGGGTTGCATAACCTGCAACTTCGTGGTAAATGACCTAACCAAAAACCTAAACAGGTTCTTATTTTTTCAACTTTCCAATTTTTAGAATTTTCGATTTTTCTACTTTGGATTTTTCGATATTTCGAATTTTCCATTTTTCAAATGTTCGATTTTTGATATTTATTATAGGTCTTAATTTTTCAACTTTTCAATTTTTTTAATTTTCGATCTTTCCATTTATTTGATTAATCAATTTTTCGACTTTGGATTTCGGATTTTCGATTTTTCGATATTCGAATTGTCGGTTTTTCTAATTTCCATTTCTCGATTTTTCAATCTTCCCACTTTTCGACTTTCGGTTTTTCTTAATCTCGATTTTCGAATTATCGATTTTTTATTTATTCGTTTTTTGAAATTCGATTTTACAATTTTTTTTATCTTTCGTTTTTTGAATTTCTCGATACCAATTTTTACATTTTTCGTGTCTTCAGTTCTCGATTTTTTGAATATTTTACTTAATCAATTTTCGATTTTTGTAATTTTTGATTTGTCGAATTTCGCTTCTACGATGTTCGAATTTTCGATTTATTCGTTTTTCTAAATTGGAATTTTCAATTTTTTCAACTTTCCAATTTCTAGAATTTTCGATTTTTCAAATGTCCAATATTTTCACATTTCGTATTTGGGTTTTTCCATATTCGAATTTTCTATTTTTTAATTTTCATTTTTCGATTTTTCTTAAGCTCGATTTTCGATTTTTGATTTGTTCGTTTTCGAAATTCGAATTTTCATTTTTTTCACTTTGTGCTTTTTCAATTTCACGATTTTTAAATTTTTCGACACCGATTTTTGCAATTTTCGATTTCTCAAATATTTGGTTAATCGATTTTCCAATTGGTCATTTTTTGAAATAGGAATTTTCAAGTTCTTTAATTTTTGCTTTGTCAGTTCCTCCATTTTTCGACTCCGATTTTTGGAATATTCGGTTTTTTCAATTTTCGATATTTAAAATTTTCGAGTTTTCGAATTTTCGATTTTTCGAATTTTGGATCCCGATTTTACAATTTTCGTATTTTCAATTTTCGACTTTTTAATATTTTATTAATCAATTTGGATTTTTAGAATTTCTGATTTCTCGAGTTTGACTTCGATTTTCGATTTTTGATCTGTTCATTTTTCGAAATTGAAATTTTCAATTTTGCAACTTTCCAATTTTTAGAATTTTCGATTTTTCCATTTTCGAATTTTTGTTTTTTGATTTCAATTTTTCGACTTTTCGATTTTGCTTAAATCCGATTTTTCGAATTTTCGCTTTTTCAATTTTCGATTTGTCGAGTTTCGGTTCTTCGACTTCTTAATTTTTCGACTCCTATTTTCCGAATTTTCGTTTTTTTTTTCTATTTTGGATTTTTCGCAAATTTGTTACATCGAATTTTCAATTTCCGATATTTGAAATATCCGATTTTTCGAATTTTCGATCTTTCGATTTGATTCATCGATTTTTTTACTTTGGATTTCGGATTTTCGATTTTTCCATTTTTCGAATTTTCGTTTTTTTAATTTCCATTTCTTGATTTTTCAATTTATCCATTTTTTGACTTTTCGATTTTTAAACTTTCGATTTCTTTTTTTATGTTTCGATTCTTGGAGTTTTCAGTTTTTCTTAATCTCAATTGTAGAATTTTGGATTTTTGATTTGTTCGTTTTTTGAACTTCGATTTTCCAATTTTTTAATCTTTCGTTTTTCAATTTCTCGATTTTTCAATTTTTCGATACCGATTTTTACAATTTTCGAATTTTCGATTTGTTCATTTTTCGAAATTGGAATTTTCAATTTTTCATCTGTCCAATTTTTAGAATTTTCGATTTTTCGACTTTGGATTTTTCGATATTTAGAATTTTCGATTTTTCAAATGTTCAATTTTTGATATTTCGTATTTAGGTTTTTCAAATGTTCAATTTCTGATATTTCGTATTTGGGTTGTTCGAATTTTCTGTTTTTTAATTTCCATTTTTCGATTTTTCAATTTTCCCATTTTTAGCCTTTTCGGTTTATTTTAAGCCTGATTTTCGAATTTTCATTTTCACACTGCGCTTTTTCATTTTCTAGATTTTTCAATTTTTCGACACCGATTTTTCGAATTTTGGATCCCGATTTTACAATTTTCGTATTTTCAATTTTCGACTTTTTAATATTTTATTAATCAATTTGGATTTTTGGAATTTCTGATTTATCGAGTTTGACTTCTTCGATTTTTCCATTTTCAAATTTTCGTTTTTTAATTTCCATTTTTCGACTTTTCGATTTTGCTTAAACCCGATTTTTCGAATTTTCGATTTTTGATCTATTCGTTTTTCGAAATTCAAATTTTAATTTTTTTCACTTTGCGTTTTTTCAATTTCTAGATTTTTCAATTTTTCGACACCGATTTTTCGAATTTTCGCCTTTTGAATTTTCGATTTGTCGAGTTTCGGTTCTTCGACTTTTCAATTTTGGATTTTTCGCAAATTTGTTTCATCGAATTTTCAATTTTCGATATGATTCATCGATTTTTTTACTTTGGATTTCGGATTTTCGATTTTTCCATTTTTCGAATTTTCGTTTTTTTTAATTTCCATTTCTCGATTTTCCAATTTATCCATTTTTTAACTTTTCGATTTTTCAACTTTCGATATCTTTTTCTATGTTTCAATTCTTGGAGTTTTCGGTTTTTTTAATCTCAATTTTCGAATTTTGGATTTTTGATTTGTTCGTTTTTTGAAATTCGATTTTCCAATTTTTTAATCTTTCGTTTTTTCAGTTTCTCGATTTTTCAATTTTTCGCTACCGATTTTTACAATTTTTGGATTTTTGGAATTTCTGATTTCTTGAGTTTCGCTTCTTCGGTTTTCGAATTTTCGATTTATTCATTTTTCGAGATTGGAATTTTCAATTTTTCAACTTTTCAATTTTTAAAATTTTCGACTTTGGATTTTTCGATATTTCGAATTTTCGATTTTTCAAATGTTCAATTTTTGATATTTCGTATTTAGGTTTTTCCATATTCGAATTTTCTGTTTTTTTCATTTCCATTTCTCGATTTTCCCATTTTTCGACTTATCGATTTTTCTTAAGCTCGATTTTTGATTTGTTCGTTTTTCGAAATTCGAATTTTAATTTTTTTCACTTTGCGCTTTTTCAATTTTCTCATTTTTCAACTTTGGATATTTTCTTTGTATATTTCGATTCTTGGAGTTTTCGGTTTTTCTTGATCTCGATTTTCGAATTTTCAATTTTTCATTTGTCCGCTTTTTGAAATTCGATGTTCCATTTTTTTTGTCTCTCGTTTTTTCAATTTCTGGATTTTTCAATTTTTCGATACAATTTTTTGCAATTTTCGATTTTTTAAATATTTTAATAATCAATTTTCGATTTTTGGAATTTCTGATTTGTCGAGTTTCGCTTCTTCAATTTTCGATTTGTTCATTTTTCAAAATTGGAATTTTCAATTTTTCAACTTTCCAATTTTTAGAATTTTCGATTTGTCAAATGTTCAATTTCTGATATTTCGTATATTCGAATTTCCTGTTTTTTAATTTCCATTTTTCGATTTTTCAATTTTCCCATTTTTAGACTTTTCGATTATCTTTAGCCTGATTTTCGAATTTTCGATTTTTGAAATTCGAATTTTCATTTTCACTGCGCTTTTTCAATTCCAAGATTTTTCAAGTTTCAATTTTCGAAATAGGAATTTTCATCTTTTTTTATTTTCGCTTTGTCAGTTCCTCGATTTTTCAATTTTTCGACTCCGATTTTTTGAATTTTCGATCTTTCGATTATTTGTTTCATCAATTTTTCGACTTTGGATTTCGGATTTTCGAATTTTCCATTTTTCGACTTTTCGATTTTTCAACTTTCGACATTTTTTTTTTTGTGTTTCGATTTTCTTAATCTCGATTTTCCATATTTGAATGTTCTTTTTTTTAATTTCCATTTCTCGATTTTTCAATTTTTCATTTGTTCCTTTTTTTGAACTTCGATTTTCCATTTTTTATTTTTCGTTTTTTCAATTTCTCGATTTTTCAATTTTTCGGGACCGATTTTTCGAATGTTCGTTTTTTCAATTTTCGATTTGTCCAGTTTCGGTTCTTCGACTTTTCAATTTTTCGACTCCGATTTTCGAATTTTCGTTTTTTTTTTAATTTTGGATTTTTCGCAAATTTGTTTCATCGAATTTTCAATTCTCGATATTAGAAATTTCCGATTTTTCGATCTTTTCGTTTTTTTTAATTTCCATTTCTCGATTTTCCAATTTATCCATTTTTTGACTTTTCGATTTTTCAATTTTCGATATCTTTTTTTATGTTTCGATTCTTGGAGTTTTCGGTTTTTTTAATCTCAAATTTCGAATTTTGGATTTTTGATTTGTTCGTTTTATGAAATTCGATTCACCAATTTTTTCAGTTTCTCGATTTTTCAATTTTTCGATACCCATTTTTACAATTTTCGATTTTTGGAATTTCTGATTTGTCGAGTTTTGCTTCTGTGATTTTCGAATTTTCGATTTGTTCATTTTTCGAAATAGGAATTTTCAATTTTTCAACTTTCCAATTTTTCAAATGTTCAATTTTTGATATTTCGTATTTAGGTTTTTCCCTATTCGAATTTTCTGTTTTTTAGTTTCCATTTCTCGATTTTTCAATTTTTCCATTTTTCGACTTATCGATTTTTCTTAAGCTCGATTTTCGAATTTTCATTTTCACTTTGCGCTTTCTCAATTTCTAAATTTTCCAATTTTTCGACACCGATTTTTCAAGTTTCGAGTTTCGGTTCTTCGATTTTCGAAATAGGAATTTTCATTTTTTTTTTATTTTCGCTTTGTCAGTTCCTCGATTTTTCAATTTTTCGACTCTGGTTTTTTGAATTTTCGTTTTTGTCAATTTTTGATTTTTCGCAAATTTGTTTCATCGAATTCTCAATTTTTCGAATTTTCGATCTTTCGATTATTTGATTAATCGATTTTTCGACTTTGGATTTCGGATTTTCGATTTTTCCATTTTTCGATTTTTCAACTTTCCACATTTTTTTTTGTATGTTTCCATTTTCTTAATCTCGATTTTCCATATTCGAATTTTCTTTTTTTTTTTATTTCCATTTTTCGTTTTTTCAATTTCTCGATTTTTCGATACCGATTTTTGCAATTTTCGATTTTTTGAATATTTTATTAATCAATTTTCGATTTGTTCATGTTTCGAAATTGGAATTTCCATTGTTTCACTTTGCGCTTTTCCGGATTTTGTAATTTTTCGACTCCGATTTTTCGAATTTTCGATTTTTCGTAATTCTCTTGTAATAATTTAGTTTCACATGGACACTGACAGCAATTTTTAAGAATACCTAAACATGCTCGCTGCGCTCGCATTCTTACTTTTTTAAAATGACGCAATCTCAAAAACATTTTCAATTTTTACACCAATTTTTTAAACTGACAAAAAAATCAGTAAATTGACGTCAATAATAAATAAACCAAGGTAAAATATTTAAAAGTTGTTACATAATCTGCAACTTCATGGTGAATGAACTAAACAAAAACCTCAACGAATTTTTCGTGTACATTGGAGAACCTAACCCCAAAATTTAAGCGTGAAATTAAAATTCCAATAAATTACAAAAAAAAAAAAATAGCAACTACAAATGTAACAACGACTAAAGAAATATTATCATCACAATTTTCATAACAAACAAACATTATCAATTAAAAATAAACAAATCAATTAATTTCCTTTGTCCTGCAGTTCAAGGTATGATTATGCTATGCTCACGCGATTGTGCCACTGTTGTAAACAAGTTTGTGTTAAAAATGAATACGATAACGCGACTTTTGAATACCAAAAAAAGCAATAAGTCGGTTAAATCAGAAGAAGGTAATCGCTAGCTCCTAAAAATTTATATTCTCACCCTTATAAAGTTCCAAAGTGGCATATTGATCTGCCAGTGATAAACACCCACTTATTGTTTTTTATAGACGCCACACCTTTTTTAATCTTAAAAAAAAAATGTTTTTGACATTATTACAAGATGGGCGACTTTTTCTATTATGGTAATATAATAAATAATGAAACAATTTAAAATTTGTACAAGGCTTACAACAAATGATCACCTGTGCCAATAAATACGTGTTCAACGTTTGAATAGAAACCAATTTACATCACTTGAAGTGTCAACAGTCACGTCTGTCATGCTTATTTTTCCCGTTAGGTGTCGCTATCTGACGTAAATGTCATACAGACCTTATATGATTAGGGAATTTATCTTGTGATAGAACCTCAAATGGACTTTGTCTTCCACTACCCAAAATTTATATTCCTAACTTAGGCCCCATTCTGGCAACAAATTAATCAAAACTTGAATGAATAAAATAATGCATGTAATAATTTTCAATGTAGACTTTTCTGATTAAATAGTTTGAATAGAACCTGTGACAAATGTTTGGGTTGCTTAAAAATACTTTCTAGAACTCTAAAGAATACCACTAGTGACTGACCCAACGTGTCAGATTCACCCAAAATGACCTGATTTTGAAGTTATCGTTGAAATTATAATTGTACGTAAAAGGAGTGGTGCAGGTCATACACATGTGGATTCCCTAGAGTTTGCACTTTATACGTATGTTAACAAACAACTGTGTGGGGCCTGAAGACTTCTTGAGCCCCCAGGTCGCCCCCTAACCCCACCAACTTCCCAAATCTCCACATACCTTGAATTTCGAAGTCTCTTGGATGCATATCTGTCATCTTCATTTGAACTCATATCCGTAGTTGATCTACGTTTACTACGTGGCATTGCAAATTGAAAATCCTAAAAACTAGCGATGATCTCGCCTGAAAACACCACAACTGTGTATTTGCGTTCCACACGAAAAGTAAGGTTATGTGTGCTCGGTCTCAACGATTTTTGCTCGGAGCTTGAATTCCTCGGATCCGCCGATGAAATCTTGCGGCGTTTAGGAAATTAACGATAACAATGCGAACCGATAAATATAAATAGCGAATTGATTACCCCTCCCAAGTGTGTTTGGAAACGGGAATTTTACCCCCGAGCCGAGACCACCGCGCAAACTTACACTTGGCTTTAAACGACGACGAGTGCAATGTGATCGGTTGCAGACTTTTACAATTTCATGTAGTTTTCGTGAAATTCAAATTCTTAATTCCAAACTCGGGTGATCTCTGCATCAGCTGTAGCATATTTTTAACCTTGAAAGTTCAGGGTTTTTCGTGAGCGAGAGCGCGGCTGCCAAGGTTGGCTAGCTTGTATCAAAGCCGCTGCGATCGCGAATTAAGCGGAGAATGCGGGCATATCAGCAAGGTTTTCGTTATCAGCGCGTTCGCGCGGGGTTTAAAATGTCACTTGAACTATTTTAATACTGATGAATTCATTATCCGACGCGGATTTGCTTACTGCGAAGTTGGGTGCTTATCGGCGGGGCGACAACCTGGCGGCGCGAAAAACACCAAGTACCCCCTAAACATGTGACCGAGTATTATTCATTGTTGTTGTTATCTTTTAGTTACCTTCTGGTACCTACTTCGAAAAGTGTAATCAATGAAAAGGTCTGAATTCGCAGCTAATATTGGACTTTCAAATTACAAGTACTTTCGTTCGTAGTTTGTGATGCTGAAAACTTCAGGTAACACACACACACGATTTAACTATACTTTGGAGCCACAAGTGCTTACATAAACGCTTATTTTCTAAGCATATTTCGCCCGATCACGAGTTTGTATTTCCAAAATATTTGTCAGTTTTTTCGTTTTTTAACCCCGACAACGTGAACCACAAGACTTAAGTTCCTGCTGTAAGTAAAACCACCAAACGTTCCAATTTTTCGATAATTCAGTCAAAATTTAAGTTTTTATTCGTCGTTTGTTGTTAAAATTGTCATTGTGAAGGTTTCGTGTTGTCACATTTCCTGCTTTCACGGAAAATGGAGGGAAGTTCGAGTGACGTCACGTATACTGGGTGTTGTACCATCAGCTGATTTCATGGTTGAACTGTCATTGGATGACTGTTCTGTTTAAAATAAACACTGGCTGCGTAAAATCCCGTCGTTTGTGTCTCTCTTATCTACTAAACTCGATAATAATACAGTCATCGATTTTCCCGACGTCTCAGCATTCCACTTTTAATCAAATGAAAAAATGAAACCAGTAGAACGGGGTTATCAATCAACGATTTCCAGTGTATTCATCAGTTTACACTGTTAATCGTGATGACCTGGTTTACAGAAGTGCAGCATGATTTCGATACTGAAAGTCCAATTTGTGCAAATTTGCCGCTCACGTGTACAGATACCATACTACCCGTTCATCCCCACCAAAGACGTGATGACGTCGTCGGCAAATTTTGCTGAGTTTTTGCTATTATATGGTGGGCTGTGTAGCCTTGCATATGTAGAAAACAACTTAAATTGTACAAACTTCAATAAATCTTAAATCAGAATTTATCTCTATCTCTCTGCCATTGAGATTTATTTATAAAAAAGTTATTACAGATCATACATTTTTTTTTTGTGTTTTTGTGATAATCTATTAGAATAAATCTGTCTGATCATTCTCACCAATCCAGTAATTATTATTTAAATTTTCTAAAATCAGATATTTTTATACTTGTTTACGTATTTCCTTTTTCCATTTTGTTATCGCATTTTTTGTTGCCTTTTTTCGTCGCAATTTTTGTTTTTTTTTTTGGAATCTGTTTTGGTCGCCTTTTTTGAAGCTGTCTTGGTGGCTCTTTTGTAGCTTTTTTTTGCCTTTATTTTCACATTTTCATCACCTTTTGTATGGACTGTTTGTTCTGTTACTTTCATTTTTTATTGCTTTTTGTACCTGTTTTTTCTTGTTTTTTCTCATTTTATTTGTTGCATTTTTTGGCGTTTGTGTTGGATTTTTTGTTACTTTTTGCAGTAGTGTTTTTTCTCCTCTGTTTCTTCGCGTTTTTTGTTTTTTTTTGTTGCGTTTTGTTTTGTTCTTTTTTTATGTTTTTCTCTTTCCTCACTTTCTGTGGTCTCCTTTATTCTCACTTTTTGGGGAACGTTTTTTTTGCTGTCTTTTGTCGCCTTCGTTTTGACTTTATTTTTCCTATTTTTGTCTTCTGTTTTTATTGTTTTTCTTAACTATCTTGTTTCAGTCGCATTTTTTTTATTAATTTTTTTGTCCTTTGTTTTCGCATTTATTGTTTTTTTTTATCAATTTGTACACGCCTTTTCCTTATTGCACTTTTTTGAGGAATTTTGTTTTGGATTTTTTTATCATTTTTTATCGTCTATGTTTTGTTGTGTTTTTTTAACCATTTTTTTTGCCGTATATTTTTCTCATTTTTTGGTTGCTTGTTTTATCTTTTTTTTCGCCCTTTTTTGTTTTTTTTTTTTTTTCACATTGTTATCACCTTTTGTATGTACTTTTTGTTCTTTTTTATTTTAATTTTTTTTTCCTGACTGTTTTATCGGTTTTTGTAGTAGTTTTTTGTTGATTTCTGTCTCTTTAATTGTTGCGTTTTTTATTTGTGTGTTACATTTTTTGTTACTTTTTATAGTCTTTTTTTTTGTAAATTTTTTCAGCCTTTGATTTTTTGGCGTTTTTTTTTGTTGAATTTTTTGTTGCGTTTTCTTTTGTTTTTTTTATCGGGTTCTCTTTCCTCACTTTTTGTCGTCTACTTTACTGTCACTTTTTGGGATCGTTTTTTTTTTGTGTCGCCTTTTTTTCACTTTATTTTTCCTATTTTTGTCTCCTTTTGGTAATTTTTTAGTAGAATTTTTTTCTTCTTTTTTGTCGCTTTCTTGTGAACTTTTTTTTGTTACCTTTTTTTCACTGTTGTTTCAGTCACAATTTTTATTATTTGTTTTTTGTCCTTTGCACATTTTTGCCACTTTTTTTGTAAATTGTTTATCCCTTTTTGTAGCCGTTTTTTGTTTTTTTTTTGTCACTTTGTACTCGCCCTTTCTTTGTTGCATTTTTTTCGAGACTTATATTAATTAATTTAATAATACATTTTGTAGCGATTTTTTTTCACGACTTTGTTTTTTTTTTCACATTTTTATCGCCTTTTGTGTGGAGCTTTTGTTCTTTTTTATTTTAATTTTTTTCCCACTTTTTTATCGGTTTTTGTAGCACTTTTTTTGTTGATTTCGTCACTTTCTTTGTTGCATTTTTTTTTTGTGTGTTGGATTTTTTGTCATTTTTTGTAGTCGCCTCTTTTTGTAAATTTTTTCTCTCATTTTTTTTTTTTTTTGATTTATTTGTTGCGTTTTGTTTTATTCTTTTTTATCGCCTTCTCTTTCCTCACTTTCTTTGATCTTCTTTATTCTCACTTGTTGAGAAACGTTTTTTTTTTTCCTATTTTGTCGCCTTCTTTTTGACTTTATTTTTCCTATTTTGTCTTCTTGTTTTATTGTTTTTCTCAACTATCTTATTTCAGTCGCAATTTTTATTTTTTTTTTGTCCTTTGTTTTCACATTCTTCGTTTTGTTTTTTTTTTTTGGTCAGTTTTTGTGCTTTTTGTTCTTTTTCATTATTTTAATTATTTTTTTTTTAATTGTTTATCCCTTTTTTGCAGTCGTTTTTTATTGTTTTTTTTTTTGCAAATTTGTACTCTCCTTTTCCTTATTGCACTTTTTTGAGGAATTTTGTGTTGGATTTTTTTTGTCATTTTTTTTATCGTCTGTTTTTTTTTGTAGTGTTTTTTTTAACGATTTTTTTTGCCGTATATTTTTGTAATTTTTTAGTTGCTTGTTTTATCTTTTTTTTTCGCCTTTTGTATGTGCATACTTTTTGTTCTTTTTTATTTTAATTTTTTTTTCCTGACTGTTTTTATCGGTTTTTGTAGTCGTTTTTTGTTGATTTCTGTCTCTTTAATTGTTGCGTTTTTTATTTTTGTGTTGCATTTTTTGTTACTTTTTATAGTCGCTTTTTTTTGTTAATTTTTTTCGCCTTTGGTTTTTTTGGCGTTTTTTTTTGTTGAATTTTTTGTTGCGTTTTGTTTTGTTCTTTTTTATCGGGTTCTCTTTCTTCACTTTCTGTGGTCTACTTTACTGTCACTTTTGGGATCGTTTTTTTTTTGTGTCGCCTTTTTTTCACTTTATTTTTCCTATTTTTGTCACGTTTTGGTAATTTTTTAGTAGAATTTTTGTCTTCTTTTTTGTCGCTTTTTTGTGAACTTTTTTTCACTGCTGTTTCAGTCACAATTTTTATTATTTGTTTTTTGTCCTTTGCACATTTTTGACACTTTTCTTGTACTTTTTTTGTAAATTGTTTATCCCTTTTTGTAGCCGTTTTTTGTTTTTTTTTTTTTGTCACTTTGTACTCGCCCTTTCCTTATTGCATTTTTTTTTTTTTGTGTTGGATTTTTTGATCGTCTATTTTTTGTGGCGATTTTTTGTCGTTTTTTTTTTTGTATTTTGTTTTATCCTCTTTTCGTCCTTTTTTTTATTTTCACATTTTTGCCGCCTTCTGAGTGGGCTTTTTGTTCTTTTTTTTTCATTTTTTTTTTCCTGTTTTTTTTTTCATTTTTATCGAGTTTTGTAACTATTTTTTGTTATTTCTGGCACTTTATTTGTTGCATTTTTTTGTGTTCGATTTTTTCTTACTTTTTGTTATCGGCATTCTTCATTTTTTTTGTTGTGTTTTGTTTTGTTCATTTTTATCGCCTTCTCTTTCCTCATTTTCTGTGGTCTTCTTTATTCTCACTTTTCGGGGTCGTTTTTTTTTTTGTCCTCTTTTGTCGCCTTTTTTGGACTTGATTTTTCCTATTTTGTCTCCTTTTGGTAACGTTTTGGTAGAATTTTTGGATTCTTTTTTGTGAACTTTTCGTTGTCTTTTTTTTACTCTCTTGTTTCAGTCGCAATTTTTATTAATTTTTTTAGTTCTTTGCGCATTTTTGTAATTTTTTTTTTGTACTTTTTTGTAAATTGTTCATCCCTTTTTGTAGCCGTTTTTTGTTTTTTTTTGTCACTTTGTACTCGCCCTTCCTTGTTGCATTTTTTTGAGGACTTATATTAATCAATATAATAATAATAATACATTTTTTTTCACTTCTTTTTGTCGTATTTTTTTGTCATTTTTTGTTGCTTGTTTTATTCCCTCTTTTCGCCCTCTTTTTGTTTTTTTTTCACATTTTTTTTGTGTGGACTTATTCTTCTTTTTTATTTAAATTTTTTCCGACTGTTTTTATCGGTTTTTGTAGCACTTTTTTTGTTGATTTCTGTCACTTTATATGTTGCATTCTTTTATTTTTGTGTTGGATTTTTTGTTATTCTTTGTAGTCGACTTTTTTGGGTAAATTTTTTCCCTCTTAATTTTTTTTGTTGCGTTTTGTTTTGTTCATTTTTATCGCCTTCTCTTTCCTCATTTTCTGTGGTTTTCTTTATTCTCACTTTTCGGGGTCGTTTATTTTGTCCTCTTTTGTCGCCTTTTTTTGCCTTGATTTTTCCTAATTTGTCTCCTTTTGGTAACGTTTTGGTAGAATTTTTGGCTTTTTTTTTTGAACTTTTCGTTGTCTTTTTTTTTACTCTCTTGTTTCAGTCGCAATTTTTATTAATTTTTTTAGTCCTTTGCGCATGTTTGCCACTTTTATACTTTTTGTTCTTTTTTATTTTCTTTTTTTGGAATTGTTTATCTCTTTTTGTAGCTGTTTTTTGTTTTTTTTTTCTTGTCCCTTTGTACTCGCCCTTCCCCTATTGCATTTTTTTAAGGACCTTTTTGTTGGATTTTTAGATCGTCTATTTTTTGTAGCGATTTTTTTGTCGTTTTTTTTGTTGCTTGTTTTTCGTTCTTTTTTTTATTTTCACATTTTTGCCGCCTTCTGAGTGGGCTTTTTGTTCTTTTTTTTTTCATTTTTTCCTTTTTTTTTTCATTTTTATCGAGTTTTGTAACTATTTTTTGTTTATTTCGGGCACTTTGTTTGTTGCATTTTTTTATGTTCGATTTTTTTGTTACTTTTTGTAATCGCCATTCTTCATTTTTTCCCCTCTCATTTTTTTGTTGCGTTTTGTTTTGTTCATTTTTATCGCCTTCTCTTTCCTCATTTTCTGTGGTCTTCTTCATGCTAACTTTTCGGGGTTGTTTTTTTTATCCTCTTTTGTCGCCTTTTTTTGACTTGATTTTTCTATTTTGTCTCGTTTTGGTAGAATTTTTGGCTTCTTTTTTGTGAACTTTTCGTTGTCTTTTTTTTCTCTCTTGTTTCAGTCGCAATTTTTATTATTTTTTTTTAGTCCTTTGCGCATTTTTACCATTTTTATACTTTTTGTTCTTTTTTATTTTCTTTTTTTTGGAATTGTTTATCTCTTTTTGTAGCTGTTTTTTGTTTTTTTTTCTTGTCCCTTTGTACTCGCCCTTTCCTTATTGCATTTTTTTAAGGACCTTTTTGTTGGATTTTTAGATCGTCTATTTTTTGTAGCGATTTTTTTGTCGTTTTTTTGTTGCTTGTTTTTTGTTCTTTTTTTTATTTTCACATTTTTGCCGCCTTCTGAGTGGGCTTTTTGTTCTTTTTTTTTTCATTTTTTCCTGTTTTTTTTTTTTCATTTTTATCGAGTTTTGTAACTATTTTTTGTTTATTTTTGGCATTTTATTTGTTGCATTTTTTCGTGTTCGATTTTTTGTTACTTTTTGTAATCGCCATTCTTCATTTTTTCCCCTCTCATTTTTTTTTTGTTGCGTTTTGTTTTGTTCATTTTTATCGCCTTCCCTTTCCTCATTTTCTGTGGTTTTCTTTATTCTCATTTTTCGGAGTCGTTTTTTTTTGTCCTCTTGTGTCGCCTTTTTTTTGACTTCATTTTTCCTATTTTTGTCTCCTTTTGGGAACTTTTTGGTAGAATTTTTGGCTTCTTTTTTGTGAACTTTTCGTTGTCTTTTTTTTACTCTCTTGTTTCAGTCGCAATTTTTATTAATTTTTTAAGTCCTTTGCGCATTTTTGTAATTTTTTTTTGTACTTTTTTGTAAATTGTTCATCCCTTTTTGTAGCCGTTTTTTTTTTGTCACTTTGTACTCGCCCTTTCCTTGTTGCATTTTTTTGAGGACTTGTATTAATTAATATAATAATAATAATACATTTTTTTAATTTTTTTAAATTCTCTTTGTCGTATTTTTTTGTCATTTTTTGTTGCTTTGTTTTTTTTTTCACATTTTCATCGCGTTTTGTGTGGACTTTTTGTTCTTTTTATTTTCATTTTTTCGGACTGTTTTTTTTCGGTTTTTGTAGCACTTTTTTTGTTGATTTCTGTCACTTTATTTGTTGCATTTTTTTATTTTTGTGTTGGATTTTTTGTTATTTTTTGTAGTCGCCTTTTTTTGTAAATTCTTTCCCTCTCATTTTTTTTGTTGCGTTTTGTTTTGTTCATTTGTATCGCCTTCTCTTTCCTCATTTTCTGTGGTCTTCTTTATTCTCACTTTTCGGGGTCGTTTTTTTTTTGTCCTCTTTTGTCGCCTTTTTTTGACTTGATTTTTCCTAATTTGTCTCCTTTTGGTAACGTTTTGGTAGAATTTTTGGCTTCTTTTTTGTGAACTTTTCGTTGTTTTTTTTTTTTACTTTCCTGTTTCAGTCGCAATTTTTATTAATTTTTTTAGTCCTTTTTTATTTTCTTTTTTTGGAATTGTTTATCCCTTTTTGTAGCTGTTTTTTGTTTTTTTTTTCTTGTCTCTTTGTACTCGCCCTCTCCTTGTTTTTTTAAAGCACTTTTGTGTTGGATTTTTTGATCGTCTATTTTTTGTAGCGATTTTTTTGTCGTTTTTTGTTGCTTGTTTTATGCTGTTTTCGTCCTTTTTTTTATTTTCACGTTTTTGCAGCCTTTTATGTGGGTTTTTGTTCTTTTTTTCTCATTTTTTTCTGTTTTTTCTGTTTTCATTTTTATCGAGTTTTGTAACTATTTTTTGTTTATTTCTGGCACTTTATTTGTTGCATTTTTTTGTGTTCGATTTTTTGTTACTTTTTGTAATCGCCATTCTTCATTTTTTCCCCTCTCATTTTTTTGTTGCGTTTTGTTTTGTTCATTTTTATCGCCTTCTCTTTCCTCATTTTCTGTGGTCTTCTTCATGCTAACTTTTCGGGGTTGTTTTTTTTATCCTCTTTTGTCGCCTTTTTTTGACTTGATTTTTCTATTTTGTCTCGTTTTGGTAGAATTTTTGGCTTCTTTTTTGTGAACTTTTCTTCATTTTTACCCTCTCATTTTTTTTTGTTCTTTTTTATCGCCTTCTCTTTTGTCGCCTTCTTTTGACTTTTCCTATTTTTGTCCCCTTTTGGTAACTTTTGTGGAATTTTTGTCTTCTTTTTTGTCGCTTTTTTGTGAACTTCTTGTCTTTTTTTTGACTCTTATTTTCAGTCGCCTGTTTTTTATACTTTTTCTTCTTTTTTAGGGACTTTTATGTTGGATTTTTTTTGTAATTTTTTGGCGCTCGTAGCGGTTTTTTTCGCCCTTCTTTTTGTTTTTTTTTTTTCACATTTTAATCACCTTTTGTGTGGACTTTTTGTTCTGCTTTATTTTCATTTTTTTCTGACTGTTTTATCGGTTTTTGTAGCAATTTTTTGTTGATTTCTGTTACTTTATTTGTTACATTTTTTTGTTGATTTTTGTAGTCGCCTTTTTTTGTCCCCTCAGTTTTTTTTGGCGTTTTTTTGTTGAATTTTTTGTTGCGTTTTGTTTTTTGTTGAATTTTTTGTTGCGTTTTGTTTTGTTCTTTTCTTTCGTCTTCTCTTTCTTACTTTCTGAGGTCGCCTTTTTTCCTTTTTTCTCTCTTTGTAGTCGTTTTTTCATCCTCTTGTCGCCACTTTTTGTCCTTTTTTTGTCGCATTTATTATGAACTTTTTTTGTCGTCTTGTTTGACTCTTTTTAGTCGCAAATTTTATGATTTTTCTTTTGTCCTCTGTTTTGGCGTTTTTGTTACCGCTTTTGTGGACTTTGCCTTTTTTTTGTAATTTTTTTATCTGTTTGTTGCATTTTTTAAAATCTTTTTCTTCTTTGTTTTTGTAACATTTTTCGTAGAATTTTTCGTCGCATGTTTTGGTCTTTTTAAATCACTTTTTCGTTTGTCACTTTCTGGCCGGCTTTTTGGTGATTTTTTTATTCCCCTCTTTTAGTTTCATTTTTACTTCCCGGTGGAATTACGTGGCGTGGCTTGATTCTTTTGTCACGGATTGTTTAAATTGCGGCTCCCCGCGCAATTCGCTGTTCGTGGAAGGAATTGCATCAGTAACCGAAATTATTGTGTTCTAAAAGGAGCAACGAGATTTACGTAAATCATACCAAACGTAGTCCGATTTTTTTTGCAGATTTTTGCTGAAAACAGACCTATATAATTTTTCTTTACCTGTAGTTTAAGAATCCACACCTGTTCTTATGACTTTTAGAGGTCAAAAATCAAATTTTATAATTTATCTAAGAAACTGGATTTACTTGATTGCATTTCAAAGAGGAGGGAAGTTCTGTCTAAATAAGTTTAGACCAATTTATTTTTCAAGGTTATTTAAAAATTCAAAAGTAGATTCATTCAAACAGAAGGAAATTATGTGAGTAGCGGCAATCGACTGAATATATAGAGGGACATAATTAGAAAAAAAAAATCTTGATTGTGAATAATTAGTACATTTTATAACTAAGGATACAGAAGAAGAAAAAATATATTGATATGTATAACAGGTTACTAATACTCCACATTCTGGAATATTTTTGATAATAAATCTAAAACTTCCAATAAGGATATTAAAAAATGTCCGGCTAGTGAAAAGTAAAGTGACGAAACGCCTGTATTTCCAACAAAAAGAAAAATCAAATTAAATTTTTTTTGAATTGTGTATTTTATTTATGAAAAAGGGAAAGAATTTGAAGTCATTTGAAGTTTTTATGTGAATTAATCGTTATAAATTTCAAACTCCAATTATTCAAATAACAGAGATCAGAGTGGAAGCGCTAAATCAGAACACCCGGTATATCACAAGTATAAATGTCGCATAGTATGGGTCGGCTGTAACTGACGTTACCGTAACTTAGGTGATCAGAAATGCATCATATTATAAACGGGAATTCCCCATTGTTAAACACGAACATAAATAAGAGTGAAGATCAGATGCCAACAGTTGTTTTTTTTTTTTGCTTCAGGTACAGTTAAAAATAATGTATTCTATCTAAAGTGCCCCAAATTCGTAAAATACCCATCACAAACGTCCTGCAACATTGCACTTTGCACTTTATTGATTCATTAAACACAAACATCATGCATTTTCCACAAATCCCCCCGGATGCAGCTACGTACACCTAATTACGTCCTTCACCGTCGATCAATACACTAACATTCCTATTTCCCCAGCGATGGCCTCACTCAAAAACGACCCGAAACGCAGACAAAGAGATGGCGTTATCAGCAGCCTCCGGGACCTCTTCGGCAACGTCCTCCACATCGACATCATCTGCTCCGTCGCATCCGAATGCGACTTCGACGGTAAGTACAGCGCAAGGAAATCCCCTCGATAACCAGACGCAGTTGAAAGATCCTCCAACGTGCTCCTGGAGATGACCAACAACATCGACGCCCCGCCGAAGCCGAAGGAGAAACCGAAGAAAAAGTCCCCGCAGCATGCCGCCTCCCCGAAGAAAGCCGAACCGTCCACGAAAGCGCAGCCCGCGGTGGTTAAGTCGCGCAAGACGATCGAGTACGAGCGCGTTATCAACTTAATCCGGTCGGGGTACAAGGTGCTGGTGATCCTGCGGGGAGTTCCCGGGAGCGGGAAGTCCCGGCTGGCTGTGGGCATCACGGACGTTACGCTGGGGCCGGGGAACAACAGCCACCACATTTTGAGCACGGATGACTTTTTTGTGCAGCAGAGGGGGTACGTGTACGACCCGAGTAAGCTGCAGGAGGCGCACGGGTGGAACCACCGGAGGGCGTTCCAAGCGATGAGTCGGGGGATGAGTCCGGTGATTATCGACAATACTAACACGCAGATGTGGGAGATGAAGCCCTACGCCATGATGGCGACGGATTATGGGTACATTATTGAGATCCTGGAACCGGATACCTGGTGGGTGTTCAATGACAAGGAACTAGCGAAACGGAACTCCCACGGAGTGCCGAGGGCCAAAATCCGGGATATGTTGGATCGGTACGACAAGAACGTGACCACGCAAAAGTTGCTGTGCGCGTATAATTTGTCCTACAAGTTCCAGAAACCGCCGCCCCCGGTGGTGAATAATGGATTTGTGCCCTTTAGGTATGTAGGTGGGTAGTTAGGGGTGTGTGCTTCATTAAGGGTTTGAAGAGTTGGGTGTTTTTGTTTTTTTTTTTTTTTTTTTCAAATTTAGGCAGCTGTAGTTCTGACTCAGTTACGTCTGGATTCAGAATCAAGAATTTGTTGATTGATTTTTATGTTGCTTCTTGAGAATTGCCCTTATTTTTATATCCCTAATTTTTTGTTGTTTTCATACATTTTAGCACTCTAAATTTTGTGACAAACTGGTCTTGTGAAAAGAATTTCGATTGTTCGTTCTGTCAGAAGTCAATTTTATTTTTTGTTGTTTTCTACTGTGTTCCAGAAGGTCGATTTTTTTTTATTTTCCATTTATTCTGATCTTTTTTTTTGTTTCTCATGTTATTTTGTTTCTTATATTATTATTATTCATATTTTTTATTCTTAGTTTTCTTTTCATTTCTGTTTTCTACTTTATAAAGTGAAAAATATTTTTCCTGAAGCTGTATTCTGTTTTGGAGCTTTTTTTGCCCAAACCCCTGCATAATAAAATTTATTTAAACTTTTCTACTCTGTTTCCTTTCTTTTGTTTGTAATTTTTTTCATAATGTACGTTTTTTTTTTAATTCGACGAGACAGTTTTTTTAAAATTAGTTCCATCGCTGACTAAATCACGTTTTTTCGATCATATATCATTTTTAAATGTACAAATTGGATAACCCTACATCAAATGGGACTCCTTATATTTGTATTTTCGAATTTGTCTTATAAAATATCGGGTGTCTCATTTATATCATTGCAGAAAACCGACAGCTGCAAATTTATTCACCTAAATTAATTAAAATATTGGAATTTGACGTTTTTTTTGAGGTAATGTAATTAAAACATATTATTCGAAATTCCACATCTCCATCTTTAAATATGGCGGCGTTTGAGGATTTTCAAGTGGACCAATTTTTTTTTTAATGCAAATATAGTGAGAATCTAAAACCTTTGTATCAAATATCTCATCTTTATTTTTTTATTAAAAATATACTATGATGGGTTACTTTCAAGAGAAACATCCTGTATATTTTAAATGAATTGTAGTCTCATCAGAGTCCATTAGAAAAATACCTTGACAGTTCGACACCTGCAAAAAATACATTCGTTCTGATGAAACCAAGGTTACGTAAAAAGTTTTTTTTTACGACTGTTGAAAAAATCTTCACACTATCAATGAGGTAAAGAAATGAAAAACTTAGTCTCACTTTGTTATAGCTATTTCCAAATATTAATTTCATTAATTGATTATAACAAATAATTAATAATTAGTTTAATATTCTAGTGATAATGAAGCAAACTAATTAATTAGTAATTAAATGCACTTTACCAAAACTAGCCGTAAATAAGAGCAGCAAACTATAATTATTTGCTAAATAATTAGTAAATTATTTACTGTACATTAAATGGGACAAACAATAACACATTTAATACAAGAATAAAGCAAACTAATTGATTAGTAATTAAATTAATTTGACCAAAATTATTTACTAATTACTTAATTACTCTGTGAAATTACTTGTACGTAATCAAATATTAATCCCTAATGTACAGGATAGCCATTTTTATTCGTTATCATTTTTATTTTATTTTTTATTTATTAATTGAGACAAACAGCAAGAAGTAATTGAATAGTATAAAGGTAATGAAACAATAATTAATTAGTAATTAAATACACTATACCAAAACTAGCCCTATAGAGAAGCAAGGAACTGTAATTATTTACTAATTACTTAATTACACTGAATTTTCGTAATCATAATTAAATAATAATTTGTTAAAAATGGCTTCGAATACTAAATTTATAAATTAATTATAGTAAATAATTAATTAACACATAGAATATTCTAAAAGTAATGAGGCAAACTAATTAATTAGTAATTAAATGCATTTAATCAAAACTAGCCGTAAATTATTTACTGTATATTAAATGAGACAAACAATAACAAAAAGTAGTTAATTTAATACTTTAATAAGATAAAGCAAACTAATTAATTAGTAATTAAATGAATTTGACCAATTACTTAATTACTCTGCGAAATTACTTGTACGTAATCGTAATCAAATATTAATAATCAGTTGAATCTATGTAATTGAGTAATAAATCGTCAAAAAACGAATTCGAATATTAAATTCATTAATTAATTATATAAACAATTAATTAACACATCTCTAATGTATAAGATAACCATTAATTCGTTATCTTTTTTATTTATTAACTGAAACAAACAGCAAGAAGTAATTAATTGAATATTTTAAAGGTAATGAAACAATAATTAATTAGTAATTAAATACACTATACCAAAACTAGTCCTATAGAGAAGCAAGGAACTGTAATTATTTACTAATTACTTAATTACACTGAATTTTCGTAATCATAATTAAATAATAATTTGTTAAAAATGGCCTCGAATACTAAATTTATAAATTAATTATAGTAAATAATTAATTAACACAGAATATTCTAAAAGTAATGAGGCAAACTAATTAATTAGTAATTAACTGCACTTTACCAAAACTAGCCGTAAATTATTTACTGTACATTAAATGAGACAAACAATAACAAAAAGTGGTTAATCTAATCCTTTGATAAGAATAAAGCAAACTAATTAATTAGTAATTAAATGAATTTGACCAATTACTTAATTACTCTGAAATTACTTGTACGTAATCGTAATCAAATATTAATAATCAGTCGAATCTATGTAATTGAGTAATACATCGTCAAAAAGCGACTTCGAATATTAAATTCATTAATTAATTATAATAAACAATTAATTAAAACATCCCTAATGTATAAGATAGCCATTTATTCGTTATCATTTTTATTTTATTTTTTATTTATTAACTGAGACAAACAGCAAGAAGTAATTAATTGAATATTTTAAAGGTAATGAAACAATGATTAATTAGTAATTAAATACACTATACCAAAACTAGCCCTATAGAGAAGCAAGGAACTGTAATTGTTTACTAATTACTTAATTACACTGAATTTTCGTAATCATAATTAAATAATAATTTGTTAAAAATGGCTTTGAATACTAAATTTATAAATTGATTATAGTAAATAATTAATTAACACAGAAAATTCTGAAAGTAATGAGGCAAACTAATTATTTAGTAATTAAATGCATTTAATCAAAACTAGCCATAAATAGGAGTGGCGATATAATTCTTTACTGATACTTAATTACAGGATTGAAATTACGTCTACGTAATCGTAATCAAATGTAATGAATTAAAAGTAATTGATGATAATTATAGTCAAAAAATGGCTTCGTATATTAAATTAATAAATTAATTATAGCTATAGGAAGAAGTAGTTAATTTAATATTCTCATAGTAATAAAGCAAAGTAATTAATTAGTAATTAAATTCACTCCTAAACTAACCGTAAATAGAAGCAATTAACTATAATGAATTACTAATTACTTAATTACTCTGTGAAATTACATATACGTAATCGTAATCATGTACAATGAATTACAACTAATTGTTAATTGGGTAATAATTCGTCAAAAAATGACTTCGATTATTAAATTATAAGTACAGTATTGTCCGGTTATAATGAACCCGCTTGTAATGAACTTCCGGCTATAGTGTACTGTATTTCAAGTAACGAAATTTTTTCCATATATCTAATGTATTTTTTTTCGGTTATAATGAACCACTGAATCCGCTTGTAATGAACTTTCGGATAAAATGAACTAAATATTATTCAAAATAAAGTGCAGTTTTCCGTTTATAATGAACTTTTCGGGGATTCCCTGATTTACGCGCTACGCATTTCCCCACCAACTTGCTTTCTGTGCCAGTCGATTCTTGGTCACTGTGTCGAAGTAGCGCTACATAAGTACTTACTTGTGTAATAACATTGTTCGAAATGGAAAAACAAAAACGTAAAGCTCTAACCTTAAAGGACAAGTATGATATTATACAAAAAATACAAAGTGGTGTTAAACAACGCGATGTTAGCCAGGAAATGAACTTGATAAAATCCACTGTTTCTATGATATGGAAGCAAAGAGAAACCATTTTATCAGCGTATGGTCAGGGAAATTCTACGTGTAAAAAAATGAGAAAATCAAAGCACCATGAAATGGATCAAGGGCTTCTTAAGTGGTTTACACAAAAAAGACAAGAAAACGTTCCTGTAAGTGGTATTATTCTACAAGAAAAAGCTAATGAAATGGGTAGTAAAATCGAAAACAAAGACTTCAAGTGTTCTAAAAGTTGGATTGAACGTTTTAAAAGAAGACATAATATCCGAACAGGAAAAATTGTGGGTGAGTCTGCAGCAGTAGATTTGAATGTTGTTAATGACTGGTTAACTAATGTTTGGCCTCATATTCGGAAAAACTATGACAGTGAAGACATTTTTAACGCTGATGAGACAGGGCTCTTTTATCAAATGACTCCTGATAAGACTTTAAAATTTGTGGGAGAAAGTTGTGCTGGAGGAAAGTTATCTAAATTGAGGATTACAGTTTTAGTAGCTGCCAATATGTCTGGAACAGAAAAAAGGAAATTGTTGGTTATAGGCAAATCTGCCAATCCTAGATGTTTCAAAAATAAACAATTGCCCGTAAAATACAAATCAAACCGTAACGCGTGGATGACCTCTGAAATTTTCACAAATGAACTGCTTGAATGGGATGAACAATTAAAACAAAAAAATAGGAAAATTGTACTTTTAGTTGATAACTGTACAGCTCACCCTGAGATTAAACTAAACCAAATTAAATTAGTTTTTATGCCACCGAATACGAGTTCAAAATTACAACCGATGGATCAAGGTGTAATTCATTCATTAAAGAGCCATTATAGGAAAATTTTACTCGCGCAGATGATAGAGGCTATGGACAACGGAAAAACATTTTCAGTTAGCATTTTAGATGCTGTAAATTTTATTCACATGGCTTGGCAAAAGGTTAGCAAAGATACAATAGCAAACTGTTTCAAGCATGGAGGATTTTCTGAAAAAAGTGCTGAATTTGATGCAGACGATGAGCTTCCCCTAACAGAATGGTTAAAAAAACATGAAGATGATCCTGGACTTATTTTCACAGATGTGGATAATGCAATTGAAATTGCAGTGCAAGAGAAAATCGGGGAATTTAATTTTGAAGAATATGTGGAAATTGATAACGACATAACGGTAACAGAAAGACTAACTGACGAGCAGATTATAGAATCAGTGACATCAGTCATGGCAACAAGTGACGAGGCCGAGGGTGAGGAAAATGAGTCTGATGAAGATGTTGATGTTTATGTTCCTTCTCTTAATGAAATGGCGCAAAAAATGGCAGAGACTCGCAACTTTTTAGAATCGCGCACTGTTCCGGAGCCTATATGGAACAGCTTTTGCAACCTCGAACGCTATATTAGTGACATTCACTTTTCTAATAGATATGTACAGACAAAAATAACTGATTTTGTCAAGTAGACTTGTGTTTATGTGACGTCTTGTTATATGTAATTACATAAATAGCTATGTTTTTTTTTATTTTTAGTTTATAAACCAAGAAATATTTTTTGAATTGTTCCCAACGTAGAATTGAAGTAAATTGAATTTAAACAAACGCAGTTTTTATTTTTCCGTTAATAGTGAACTTCGGATATAATGAACTAGTTTTGTTACATTTTTTGAGTTCATTATAACCGGACGCTACTGTAATTACAAGTATAATGGATTAAAACTAATTGATCATTAGCTAAACATAATTAAATAATAATTTGTAAAATATAACTTCGAGTACTAAATTTATAAATTAATTATAATAAATAATAATTAACACATCCAATGTATAGAATAGCCATTTGCTGGTTATCATTTTTACTGTACATTAAGTGAAACAAACTAGTCGTAAATACGAGTACCGAAATATAATTATTTACTAATTACATAATTACTGTGTGAAATTACTTGTACGTAATCGTAATCAAGTATGATGAATTGAAAGTAATTGATAATAATAATTATCAGTGAATTATAACTAATTAATAGTTCGTCTAAAAATTAATAAATTAATTATACCAATTAATTCATTAATCTAGTGAGACTAACAATAACAACAAGTAGTTAATTTACTACTTTAATAAAAATCAAACAAACTGATTAATTAGTAATTAAATGCACTTGACAAAATTATTCACTAATTACTTAATTACTGTCTAAAATTGACTGTACGTAATCGTAATCACGTATACAGAATTAAACCTAATTGATGATTAATTATTATTAGTGAAAAAATGACTGAATATTTTCGTAATTAATGGTAATAAATAATTAACAAAAGTTTGTTTATTAATTTATTGTATATCTATCCTTATTTCTCACTTCTGGAAGGATTGTTATTTCCCGTACAAATAACACGAAATTTACAATGGTTAGTTAAGATAATAATCAATTTATATGGCAACAGAGTTTCGACCACACTAAAAACCACCTAACCGCCTTCAGATTCCAGCAACAAAACGGCTTCGTCGAAAACGTCCCCAAATCAAAAAGCACCTCAGCCCTGGACCAAACCACCATGGACGTCGAAATGGGAAACCTGATGGAGTTCTCCGAAATACCCAAAGACACCGACAAAGAAAGCGACCAAAAAGAAAACCCAGACTTCTGGAATTCTAATCCCGTCGACGACATCCTAATGTGCACTGAAGAAACCCGCGTGGAAATCCTGCAACCAGTAAGCGCAAACAAAAACCGACCTAAACCGTTCCCGGACATAGAAAACGCGTGGGGGGTAGACGAGAAAGCGCTACAGTCATGGGACATTGTGACACCAGTCAAGTGCGACTTCAACCAGGCTTCGGTGGAAGTAGATAACAAGGAGGAAGCCAAACCGGAAACGAGAGACGGCAGCACGTGCATCGAAGGGCGCGATTATTTGAAAAACGGGCAGATTCCGTTCGGTTTTAGAGTCGTGGTGGCGGAAAATCGCGACATCAATGTCGGATCGCCGGCTAGAAATTTCGCCCCGCCAAAGAAAACCATGGTGGATCAGAGTTGCATGACGGTGGATGTTGTTGAAGAGGAGGAGAATGAAGAGAAACGGGTCAAGGACCTTTTGGATTTGTTTCCGAAGGTGCCGCGGTCTTCTTTGCGCGAGTTGTTTTATAAATGCAACAGGAATTTCTACTGGACGGTCGATCTACTTCTGGATGACGATAATCTAGAAGTGGCTGCTGCGAAAGAGGAAGATACAGAAGAAAAACACGAAGAAAGTGAGGAGAAGACAGACGAGCAATCGATATTTATTGAGTCGTCTGGTGAAGAAGACAAGGAAGACTCGACTAAAGAAAAAATGTTTAAAAAGAAGACGGTTTCTGAAGACTGTCTAGAATTGAAGACGTGTCTTGAGAGTAAGTTTAATATAAGTAAAGAACATTACTCGGAGCACGTTTATAAAGTGAAGCAGACTAAATTCGGGGGTCCAATTTCTGAACCGGAACCTCAGCCGTCTACTTCGTCTGCAATAGTGGTCGATTCTGACTCTGATCTAGATTCAGATGACGATTATTCTAACAATGATGACCCGAAACATATGATTGAATTAAATTTGGGGGACACTTTCGTCGACCAGTTGGAAACTTTGTTTGGTGGAGATTTCCCCAGAGGGTTCCAGCCGGTGGTACAAATGCCTATTGCTCTAGCCCGACAAATCTATAGCTTCTATGTTGAATCCATCTGTCAACAGATGGAAACCCAAAACCATATCTTAGACCGTCTAGTCAAGGAAGATGAAGAGTTTGCTAGAAAATTGCAGCGTGAAGAAGTGCCTCAAACTACCACCAGAGCTCCAACTTTCACTGAAATCATGGATGAGCAAATCGCTATGAATCTACACCAGAAAGATGTAGATGATTGGAAAAATATGACAGCCGATAATCTAGCTTCGAAATTGACTAAACAAAAACTGTTCCAAGCTTTTCCAAAGGTGGAAAGGGACATTTTACTGGAAGTATGGCACGCCTATGATTATGATTATAATAAAACTGTGGAAGTTTTGATCGCTTCTGTGGGGGCGGAGAACGTGAATGGAACAGAAGGGATAAAAGATCCCCCATTGAGTAAAACGACTTTGGAAGAAATGAAAGCAGCTGAAGAAAATTGTGGCGAACTTGAGGTAAGTTGAACTAGTATGACAATGTGGTTTTAAAGTTTCATCTAGGAACCTGAGGACCCCAAACCCGCGACGTACTACAGAGAAGAAGCCAATAAACACTTGAAGAAACGATCCGAATTATATGAGAAAGCCAAGGCTTCGTATCAAAGAGGAATGACCGAAGTCGCAATGTTCTATTCAGAATTGGCAAAAAGGGAAACTCGGTCGTACGATAAAGCTAATCATTTCGCGGCTGCCGCTTTTATAGAAGAACATTCTAAAAGACTTCAAAAGTTCGATACTCTAGATCTTCACTACTTCTACGTGAAGGAAGCCATTCCAAACTTGGACATATTCATAGATAGAAACATAAATTTGTTGAAAGGTAGTTCCAAAAGGGGACAAGATTTATTTGTTATTACAGGAAGGGGTAAAAATAGCGAAGGGGGTCGTTCTAAAATTAAACCCGCAGTTATGGCTAGGCTGCAAAAACGTAAAATTGGGTAAGTACTCCCATCTATATCTATGTACCTTTCTCACTCTATTTCTTAGGTACGTTCAGCTTAATCCAGGATTGTTGAAGATCCGAGTCCTGCGGGACTCCCTAATAACAAGTGATATACCGTAATTTTATAATTTCTACATATTTTTGTATCGTTTGTTTAAATACTAAATGTCAATTTTTGAGAATTTTATATTGTGACACCACCAACATCGACCCATTTCCAGGGTTTATAGTACAAATGGTTGTGTTAAAGTACCTGCGGAAATGCTTTTTATTTTTGAAATTTGTGCACATGTGTTTTATTTCGTGGATGCCAAATGGTATTGCTCAAATTTTTATTTAACACTCCATATGTGGCAATCTTCGTGTGACAAATGCACGGTTTTTGTTGGATTGGATGAATAAATTTAAAAGTATTCACGTAATTGGAGTTTTGTAAAAATTAGTTTGCAATTAGTGTAAGTCACGATCTTTTAAATTTATTCATGTAAGGTCGCATTTGTGTTCACCTAATAATGTTGTTTAATTATTTTAATGACTTATCCAAGCCATTTTTCTAGTTTGTAAATTATGGAACATCTGGCTGCTTATAGTTGTGGTTTTGAAACGCTGAACGTCCAATATCTTGCCACAAAGGTTCGTTGTTTCAAAAGCGGAACTATGCTGCAATGGCAGATGTGTATTGTTGCAAATTATAATTTTTTTATACATTTTTAAGAAATATATTTTATTATGTGAATTGTGGTATGGTCTTTCATTATTTTACCCTCTTTTCAGTTTTTATGAATTTTTTATATTCAAAATTTTATTATTATTATTTTTTTTATGAATTTACATATATTAAAATATGGTTTTGTTTCTGAAATAGTGAACATTGAGCAGATTGCGGGTTTTTCTTCTCCTTGGTTGCTGTTCACTGTTTCAGAACTGGAACTATATCTATGATTTTTATATTCACTTTTTAATTGCTTTTGTATTTCACAAATTTTGTTAATTTCAGTTTTGTGTGTACTTTATTTTAAAATATTCTAAAAATTCCAATGTTCACTGCTTCAAAACCGAAACTATGTTTATGATTTTTTTATATTCACTTTTTAAATTTTTATAGTTCGCAATTTTGTTAATTTTCACTCTTGCTTTTACTGTTTTTGTACGTAATTTTAAAATTTTATAAAAATTACACATTTTGTTAAATTCTCTTCGTGGAAATTCACACACAGTTTTTTTTTAATAAAATTACTCTTTTTGGTTTTACGTGTTGTCATCATACGCGATAACAAGTGGAACATATATAAATTAAAGTATAGTTCTGTTTCTGAAATAGTGAAAATTAAACAAATACTTTTATGTGTTCCATTTGAAAAACTTGTAAAATCCACAATATTATTCCCGTATTATTTTTTAATTCCTAATAGTAAATTTTTGACAAAATCAAACACGTGGCATATTTGCGGATTGTCCACTGTTTCAAAAACGGAAGTATGTTATTTTTATATTTGCTTTTTTAGTTTTTGTATTTCACAAATTTTGTTAATTTTCAGTTTTACTTTTAACTGTTTGTTCCCTCTTTTTTTTGAAATGCAGAGTTATGACAACCGAAGGTAAGCAAAGAAAAATGTTACTGCCTCGGTAGGACTCGAACCACACTTCACCCGCTTGCCGGGCAGGCATCCTGACCACTAGACTACGAAGCCGCTTATCTTTCTCCGTTTATCATCGTGTTATTGTACCGCCCCAATAACCAAACACGTGGCAAGTCTGCGGATTTTCCTTTTACTTGGTCAATGTTCACTACTTCAAAACCGGAACCATGTTCATGACTTTTTTATATTCACATTTTTGATTTCACAAATTTTATTGATTTTCAGTCTTGCTTTTATTGTTTTTGTACTTGATTTTAAAGTTTTATAAAAATTCCAAATTTTGTTAAAAACCCTTTGTGGAAATGCACACACAGTATAATGAGTGGTCGAGTTTTTTTTAATAAAATTACTGTTTTTAATTTTACATGTTGTAATACGCGATAACAAGTGGAACATAGATATTAAAGTATAGTTCTGTTTCTGAAATAGTGAAAATTGAATAAATACTTTTGATGTGGTCATTTGCAAAAAATTAGGGTGAAATTCGCAATATTCCCATAATATTTAATTTCTAGAAATACATTTTTGACAAAATTAAAAACTATGTTTATGTTGTTTTTATATTTGCTCTTTTTAATTTTTGTATTTCACGAATTTTCTTAATTTTCGGTTTTACTTTCACTGTTTTTGTATTTTGTTTCAAAATATTCTAAAAATTCCACATTTTTTTAGTTCTCTTTTTTTTGAAATGCAGTTTCATGGGTGGTCGATTTTTGACATAACCAAACACGTGCAAGTCTGAGGATTTTCCTTTTACTTAGTCAGTATTCACTGCTTCAAAGCCGGAACTATGTTCATGATTTTTTTTACGTATTCACTTTTTTAATTTCACAAATTTTGTTCATTTTCAGTTTTGCTTTTATTTTAATAAATATTTTATTTATTTCATTTGTACTTGATTTTAAAATTTTCTACAATTCCACATTTTGTTAAATGCATTTTGTGGAAATGAACAGTTTAATGAGTGATCGTGTTTTTTTTTTAATTACTGTTTTTGATTTTACATATAACAAGTGGAAATATAGTTATGTTTCTGAAATAGTGAAAATTGATCAGATCTGCGGGTTTTCATTTTCCTTGGTTGCTGTTCACTGCTTCAGAACTGGAATTATATTGTATACTATGTATTTGCTTTTGTATTTCACAAATTTTATTAATTTCAGTTTTGCTTTTACTTAATTGTAAAATTTTCAAAAAATTCCACTGTTCTCTGCTTGAAAACCGAAACTATGTTTATGACTTTATAGTAACTTTTTTAAATTTTTTATTTCGCAAACATGTAGTAATACGCGATAACAAGTGGAACATAAATATTAAAGTATAGATCTGTTTCTGAAATAGTGAAAATTGAACAAATACTTTTGATGTGTTCCATTTGAAAAACTTGTAAAATCCACAATATTATTCCCGTATTATTTAATTCCTAAAAGTAAATTTTTGACAAAATCACACACGTGGCACATTTACGGATTGTCCACTGTTTCAAAATCGGAAGTATGTTTGTTATTTTTATACATATTTGTTTTTTAGTTTTTGTATTTCACGAATTTTGTTAATTTTCAGTTGTACTTTAACTGTTTCTGTATTTTATTGCAAAATATTTTAAAAATCCCACATTTTGTTTAGTTCTCTTTTTTTTGGAAATGCAGTTTCATAACATAACCGAAGGTAAGTGAAGAAAAATGTTACTGCCTCGGTGGGAATCGAACCACACTTCACCCGCTTGCCGGGCAGGTATACTGACCACTAGACTACGAAGCCGCTTATCTTTCTTCGTTTACCATCGCATTATTATGCCGCCGCAATAACCAAACACGTGGCAAGTCTGCGGATTTTCCTTTTACTTGGTCAATGTTCACTACTTCAAAACCGGAACCACGTTCATGACTTTTTTATATTCACATTTTTGATTTCACAAATTTCATTGATTTTCAGTCTTGCTTTTATTGTTTTTGTACTTGATTTTAAAGTTTTATAAAAATTCCAAATTTTGTTAAAAACCCTTTGTGGAAATGCACACACAGTATAATGAGTGGTCGAGTTTTTTTTAATAAAATTACTGTTTTTAGTTTTACATGTTGTAATACGCGATAACAAGTGGAACATAGATATTAAAGTATAGTTCTGTTTCTGAAATAGTGAAAATTGAATAAATACTTTTGATGTGGTCATTTGCAAAAAATTAGGGTGAAATTCGCAATATTCCCATAATATTTAATTTCTAGAAGTACATTTTTGACAAAATCAAGCACGTGAGATATTTACGGATTTTTCGTCCACTGGATTCAACGTTCACTGTGTCAAAACCGGAACTATGTTTATGTTGTTTTTATTTTAGCTTTTTTTAACATTTGTATTTCACGAATTTTGTTAATTTTCGGTTTTACTTTAACTCTTTTTGTATTTTATTTCAAAATATTCTAAAAATTCCACTTTTTTTAGTTCTCTTTTTTTTGAAATGCAGTTTCATAGGTGGTCGATTTTTGACATAACCAAACACGTGCAAGTCTGAGGATTTTCCTTTTACTTAGTCAGTATTCATTGCTTCAAAATCGGAACTATGTCATGATTTTTTTTACGTATTCACTTTTTTAATTTCACAAATTTTGTTCATTTTCAGTTTTGCTTTTATTTTAATAAATATTTTATTTATTTTATTTGTACTTTATTTTAAAATTTTCTACAATTCCACATTTTGTTAAATGCCTTTTGTGGAAATGAACAGTTTAATGAGTGATCGTGTTTTTTTTTAATAACTGTTTTTGATTTTACATGTTGTCATCATATGCGATAACAAGTGGAAATATAGTTATGTTTCTGAAATAGTGAAAATTGATCAGATCTGCGGGTTTTCATTTTCCTTGGTTGCTGTTCACTGCTTCAGAACTGGAATTATATTGTATACTATGTATTTGCTTTTGTATTTCACAAATTTTATTAATTACAGTTTTGCTTTTACTTAATTGTAAAATTTTCAAAAAATTCCACTGTTCTCTGCTTTAAAACCGAAACTATGTTTATGACTTTTAATAGTAACTTTTTAAATTTTTTATTTCGCAAACATGTAGTCATACGCGATAACAAGTGCAACATATATATTATATTTCGCAAACATGTAGTCATACGCGATAACATGTGGAACACATGCATTAAAGTATAGTTCTGTTTCTGAAATAGTGAAAATTATACAAATACTTTTGATACAGTTATTTGCAAAAATTATCGAAAATTCACATCATGTCCATTATTTAATTCCTAGAAGTAAATTTTTGCCAAAACGAAACACATGGATATCTGCGGATTTTCCTTCTACTGGGGATGATAGATCATTGTTTCGAAAACGTAACTATTTCTGTAATTTTTTTTATATTCACTTTTTCAATTTTTGTATTTCAAAATATTCTAAAAATTCCACTTTTTTCCCTTTTAGAGGAAATATCTGCCAAAATCAGTCTTATCTTTACAAGTACTAGCCCCACCCACCCGCCCTTTATTTTCTTAGAAGGTATGTGATTTGCCAAAATCAGTCGCATCCTAGAAAGTACTAGCCCCTCCCACCCGCCCTCTATTTTAGAGGAAAAGACTAATTGATTAATTCATACTCAGTTTTTTTCTCAAAAACACTCATAAATTTGAAGAAATTCGGCAAAAATGTAAGATGACGGAAATTTTGACTAACGATTTACCATATTTATAATAATCTTAAAATATTTGCACGATTTCACGGCATTCATAAAATATTCGTACACAATGTTGATTTTTTTTCCAAAAATCTCCATACTAAGGGTAAAAACTCAACACGGATTCATGAATCACACATGCAGGACTCTGCAATCCTATAAAATTAAATTTATAACACCAAAAAAAGAGGACAAATTAATTAGTAGTGAGTAAAATGGTAACAGGCCAATTTTGACGCTGAAATGTATTGTAGTAGGACACCTATACTAAAATATAGTATTACTTTTGAAACAGTGAAATGTGAATTGTATTCGCTGTTTCAAAAGCGGAACTATATTTCTTATAAGCCGACGGTCCCCTTATACACAGCTTAATAACAACCACAGACTAAGAAAATACAGAATAAACCTTTATCATCATGAATTATTATCAAATCCAGTTGCATTTTTGTCCTGCCAACACTATAAGTTTAATAAAATAAGAACTTATAAAAATCAGTAAGTACATAATTAGTTGGCTAAAATAAAAATGACAGCGGTGCTTTTACATTTTTAATTGTGGTATTAATAAACCAAACTGTCAAAGTTCGATAATTTACATCCGTTCTGAAAATCGATAAACAACGACCATAAACTGTGTGGACGCCAAGAACCCAAACAACCAGTCTACAATAAAATAACAACCCCGCAAATTTTTACCTGAGCTGCCCTTTTTCTGCCCCACTGACCAGTAAACCAATACATCAAAACCCGGACACGCCATTATTAAAGCCGGCCCTGTCCACCTGCGATGACTCACCAACAGGTGTCCTCCAAAGAGTCGGTGTCTTTGCCCCCTCCGTCCCCCATCCTCCATCTCTTTCCCGCCACATGTAAACCCGAGAAAATCGTGTTGGCGTCGTCTTCGAAGATTATCCAATCATCATTAGGGAAATCCGCCAAGGCCACTCAAACCGTCACGTGACCCCCATTTCTTCTTTTCTTCTCGCTTCTTTGTTATCATTGGAGATGGAGTGAGTGGAAGACGCGGAACGGAAGAAGTGTTGCCGGAAGTGAATGAAGTGTAAATGTGAGAAGTGAGAAAGGAAAACAATCGCTTGCTTAGGTAATGTGATAACTTAATAACTCATGGTTTGATTGACATCAAGAGCGCCGTGATTCAACTTAAAAAAGTGAGGTTAAGTAACGTAAACAAAACGTTTGTCGTTTTTGCCGACCATTTTTAAGTCGGTTGTTGGTAAATAAGAGTGGTTTTGGATTTTGGCGCTGCAAGAATTTAAATTCTTGTGCAATCATCATTGATGTAGGGAACATAGATGGTGATGCCGAAAATCCACAGACGTTATAATTAGAGACGGCGGATCTCTTATGTCACAAACGCCATAATAACTGATATCGCGGTTACAAAATGGGTGACTCATGTGGTTTGTTACTACTTTTTGAAGCGGGTGGTGATTATTCTAATATTATCGATTTTGTTATAGTTTTTAATCAATCTTTATCAGGATGTTGGAGGAAGAAACGGAAAGTCTGGCTAATTTGAACCCGGACGACTATGAATTTGTGCAGAACGCGATTGGATTGTAAGATGGTGTGTTAATTAAGCTGTAAATTTTTAATTGGGTTTTTTGTGTTTAGGGAGATGGGGATAATGGCGTCGGAAGCGATGCATGGAACTAATGATTTCGGGTAAGTTTTTGAATTTTGGTGTATTGTTGATGTATATCGTGCATATTTAGAGACCCTATGATCGATATGATGAATGGTGAAGATACCACGCTTACGGTAAGTACTTTTTTTTTATTAATATTGTCTGACATTTTTCTCAATTTTTTGTGAAACTTTCTTTCACTTTCTTTTATTCATGAATAATGAAAATTCTGACATGTTTATGACATATGTGCAAAATAAACTATATTTTCATGTAAATCGTTTTATATAATTATTTCCATGTATGTTCATACTGCATTATTTGTCAACTAGTTAAGTATTAAAGCGGACTAATTAACCCCCAAAAATAAGAAAACTGAGAGAGTTGTCCTAATATTGGTCTCAGTGGTGAAAAATTAGTAGGGATTAAAAAAAATCTATGGTGGCAGCAGTGATTATTGCCAACCCTTGTCGGGCAGTAGAATTTAGTTTGATTTCTGGGTTTTAATTTTATTTAAAAATATCGCGGATATCAAATAAACAATAATAAAACAACAAAAAAATGTTTTCTGAAGTGATGAGAGAATATTCGTGTATGCAACCAATTATACACGGATTTAATAACATTCACCTCAGATTGTTACCACCACCATTTGTTTTTAAAACCAAACACTACCTCCTTTTGTTTATAGTGGCTTTTCATGTAACATATTTCATTTTATTTTTTCTTTTGTTATTATTATTATTTTTTTTGTTATATACATATTTATGTTTTAATCACGTCCTCGTTAACTGTGTACAAAAGAAAGTATCAAGAGAATTCCCAAGACGCTAATAATGAGTCATCTTCATACTCCATGAGTCATTGCACAATAGCGGCAAATGTTTTCGATGTTTGTAAACAACAAACATCGGTTAAAATTTACCTAAAGCGCTACAAATATTAATAATATAATAATTCAATTAAATTAATTGCTGTCGTCTTTAATTAATTAACATCCCACGTGGTATTAAATCGTTCGATTACACATAATGACTCAACCACGTACAAACAACCTCGACCAGTCCCAACACGTTCCCGGTTACAATAGTCCTCCGCAGACTCACCTCAGACCCTCATACTAGTCGTGCTAACGAGATCACTAACTTCGGCTGTGCTAAAACAATAAATTTAATATATTTTTGCTACCCTCCATAATTTTTAATTTATTTTTTTGTAGATATATTTAAAATGGTTGTTTCTGAAACGGTGAGTGCCACCCGACCCCAACCACACACCAACCCCAACCCTCATTGACACTCCTCCCATGTTTTAGATTGAAGATTTCAAATACATCCAAGACGCCAACTACATGTCGGACTACCAACCATTCCCACCCAGCGAACCCCAGCAATTGTGCAATTCCGACTACGCCGGGCCTTACGCTTTCGAGGTCTTCGTTGACCCCAACGTCATGAAAAACCCATGGGAGTACTCGGCGCTCCTGAATAAGATTTACATTGACATGAAGCACAAATTCCCGATTAATTTTAGCGTGAAGAGCCACGATCCGGAGCAGAAGATGTTCGTGAGAGTGATGCCCATGTTCGAGGAAGATCGCTACTTTCAAGAGCCGGTGCATAGATGTATTTGTCATGGGCAGGCCCAGGACCCCACTAACAATGGGGTGTCGGAATTGGTCGCACAGCATATCATACGGTGCGACAACCCCAACGCGAGATATTTCGGGGATAAGAATCTGGGGCGGAGGCTCAGTGTCGTGATTCCTTTGTCTAGTCCGCAAGTGGGCACTGATAGTGTTAAGGAGTTCTTTCATTTTGTCTGCAAGAATTCGTGCGTTGGGGGGATGAATCGCAGGCCGATTCAGATTGTATTTACACTAGAGGATGTATGGTAAGTGCTGTCATTTGCGCATCGTTAAGATCAGCCATAACCTAACTTTCTTGACTTGTTTTCAGTGGAACGGTTCGTGGCCGCCGTGTCCTGTGTGTTCGTATTTGCTCGTGCCCGAAACGCGACCGCGAAAAAGAAGAAAAGAAAAGAGAGCAGGAAAACCATTCTACTACCAGTAGCAAGAAACGAAGAGTGGACAAGAAACTACCCGCACCTCCATCACCCCCGACAAGCGATAATACCGACACGAGGATTTTTCCTCTTCAGGTAGGTATAACACTAATTTTGGTTACGACCGCTGCACCACCCGGAAACCCTTCACCCAACGCCGCTACTAAATGTCGTTTGTTTGCAGTTGGATGTAGTGGGCAAAGAAAACTACAAGCAGATGTTGAAGTTCTGCCAAACCTTGATGTCCAACGAGATCTATGAAGCAAAAAGCGCCAATCTCGCTCCATTTGAGAAGTGCCGTGAGCAAGTCACTCAAATGTTGAATACTATACCTGAGTAATTTACTGCCATTTGTATGCTTCTTAGATTTAGTTTTTTGCCATTTGTTATTGTGGTGCTTGGTGGTGAGTTTTTACTGATTTTGATCAACAAAATTGTAAGTAACTCTGAAACTCCACTTGTTTCCATTTTATTTGTAGTTTGGAGTGTGGTACATTCCATGTTTTAGTATTTTTTACATTTTGACAACTTGTGAGTGATTGACGACTATGGGGCAAAGTGAAGTCAGCGCCTGATCAGTCAATCATTTATTGACACACTGATGTTAGAGCAAAGAAGTCAAAATTTTTCAAGAATATATTCGTAATAAAAAGACAATTTGCTTCTTTGTTCCGCAATAATCGTCAAAATAGTGTTTTAATTAATTTGCAATTCAAACTATAATGATCTACAATTTGTTTATTTTTTTACATTGTGCTATTTTTATATGATTATAATAAACTTTTTACAACTTGGCCTTGGTTATTTAATTGTCCACTTTTCCGGTACATTTCAAGGCCGCCATCTTTAAGAGATAACGGCAACCATTTTGGGTAAATTGGGTTAAGTGGTAACCGCTCAGCTGATTATCCACTGAGAAGGAACGACATTTATTACTGTGTTTAAATTAAGAGTACAAAATGAGTCAGTTAAGTCAGTTTAGTGAAGGTGGATTTTCGGACCTCATTAGTGATGTGGACAATTTTATCGAAACCAATGGGATGATAGAAGAAGTGTAAGAATTGTTAATCGTGTTATTTGCATATTTCGTATGCCCTGTTACATTTCAGGCAGGATTTATTAGGCACAGGTTCTAGTGGACGTAGCCCCATTGAAGAACTGCCGGTAAGTGGATAAAAACAGCGAACGAAAGACAGAACTTAACCTCAAAGTGTCATGTTGTTATCATTCGATAAGAGTGGACATTCAATATGCAAAATACGAAGATCTACAGGATCTAAATAAGTAATGAAGTTTATTGTCAAAGATGCACCAAAACTAAAATCAATAACATGAAATTCTTGAATGTAGTGGTACATCCTGTATATGTCAAGATTGTCAACAAGAAAACCCTGTATCCAGGTTTCTTGATGTTGAAAAATCAATCTGTTTAAATTAAGCAGTAATCAAAGCAACCTGTGACGTAATTATTACAGTTTAGAGTTGTATGTATACATTGTTTATTGTCATGAGGTGACAGGTGATCAGTTTAATAAAAATCTATCCATAAATTGGATGAAAATTCGTTAAACTTTGTGTATTTGAATTTAAATTTGCAAACGTCACACGTATACACTTTTAAAAGTAACTCAAAATTATATTTTTTAATGCTGATTTTAAAGCAGACACGTCAAGGCAGTCATGGATTTTTGAAAGTTTGTCTTTGATTGTTGCATTTTCGACTCACATTTTCAAAATGACAGGAAACTGACAAGACGAAGATTCTATCAAAGACAAATATCCAAAAATCTTTGGCCCTCTTTGATGTTTTTTATTCAGGAGCCATTAAAGCAATCTGTGACATTTATTAAAATATAGGGTTGTATATTTATCCGGGCGTCTGGAAAATGCCGGATTAACTCTCCGCTACGCTCTTAACAATCGACTGGTGAGTCTGGGAAAAATAGTAAAAAAATCCTTCTCACATTTTGGTGGAGTGATAATGATTCATTATCACAATAACTAGTAAAAAAAACTTTAGTTGATATTTGTCTCGCCGATTTGAAACAATTTTGGGGGACTTTGGTATTCTATTTTTGGAAAATTCTGACCTGACCTGTCTTTGAGTTAATTTTGGGAAAAATCAATCTGTTTAAATTAAGCAGTAATCAAAGCAACCTGTGACATAATTATTACAGTTTAGAGTTGTATGTATACATTGTTTATTGTCATGAGGTGACAGGTGATCAGTTTAATAAAAATCTAACCATAAATTGGATGAAAATTCGTTAAACTTTGTGTATTTGAATTTAAATTTGCAAACGTCACACGTGTACACTTTTAAAAGTAACTCAAAATTATATTTTTTAATGCTGATTTCAAAGCAGGCACGTCAAGGCGGTCATGGATTTTTCAAAGTTTGTCTTTGATTGTTGCATTTTCGACTCACATTTTCAAAATGACAGGAAACTGACAAGACGAAGATTCTATCAAAGACAAATATCCAAAAATCTTTGGCCCTCTTTGATAATGTTTTTTTTTTGAAAAGTTAAACAATCTTGACCTTCTAGATATTCCTGTTTGGAAAGAATTTGAAAGTGTATTTTCTTATAATAATTTATTTGAATTTCTTAAAAATCAGTTTTACCTTGGCAGGTACTAGCCCCGCCCACCCACCCTTCGTTTTCTTAGACGATATGTCGTTATATATACCCAACCATAAATTGGACACATGCTTAATTTTTATGAGAATTCGTTAAAATTTGTATATTTCAATTAAATTACAAACGTCACTTGGTCGAAATAAATCTGCTCGATTTACAATTTTTCAGATCAAGTGTACACCTTTCGAAAATAAGTCAAAATTAATTTTTTTATGCTGATTTCAAGGTAGAGGTTTTGTACAAATTCCCAAGGTCATTTATAAGGGAGTTAATACCGACAGAGCAATAAAAACACGATCAAAAACAGTGATGGATTTTGGAAAGTTTGTTTTTGATTTTTAACACAAAATTTCAAATTGACGCTAATCTGACAAGGCAAAATATTCTATCAAAGACGAAACTACAAAATCCATGGTTGTCTTTGATCGTGTTTTTGTATTGAGCAGCGATCAAGCAATCTGTGACACCATTAAAGTAAAGTGTGTGGTTTTACTTATAATTTGTTTATTTTCGTGAGGTGACATGTGATCGCTTGATTTACAATTTTTAGATTTAGTGTACACATTTCGGAAATAACTCAAAATATATTTTTTTAATGCTGATTTCAAAATTGAGGTTATGCGATCCAAAGTGGCGACATTTTTTTTTACAAATTCCCAAGGTTCCTTTACAGTGTAATTAGTGCTGAGAGAGCACTAAAAAATACATCAAAGACAGTCATGGACTTTGCAAAGTTTTTGTCTTTAATCGTTGCATTTTCAACTCAGATTTTCAAAATGACGGGAATCTGACAAGTCGAAGATTCTATCAAAGACAAAAAATATTCAAAAATCTTTGGTTGTCTTTGATCGTGTTTTTTATTCAGCCATCAAAGCAACCTGTGACATTATTAAAATCTAGGGATGGATATTTATGCATATATTGTCTATTTTCATGAGGTCAAAAAATTGTGTATTTGAACTAAATTACAAAGTCACTTGGTCGATTTTTTAGTTTAAGTATACATCTTTAAAAAATAATTCAAAAGTATTTTTTTTTATCCTGATTTCAAAGTAGAGGTTTTATACAATTCCCAAGGTCACTTTATAATGTAGTGAACACTGATAGAGTAATAAAAACACGATCAAAAAGAGTCGTGGATTTTGGAAAGTTCGTTTTTGATTTTCAACACAAAATTACAAATTGACGTTAATCTGACAAGAAAAATTCCATCAAAGACGAATTTTCAAAATGTCATGACCTCTAGAGTATGAAAAAAGTGGTCTCCCGTTTTCGTCTGTCTCTCTGTCTCACTCTGCATCGATTTTTATCAGGTGGGGATGTTTAAATACTAACCAAAATTTGGCCAATTATCCCCACCAACAATTTGATGACGTCATCTCCAAAATTTATAATTAAAAGTTTCTTTAATTTTATAAAATATGATAGTCTTGTACTTGTGGTGTGAATCCGTGTCGAATTTTCACGCTAAACATCCAGAACTTTTAGAAAAAATTTAAAACTTAATAAAAATATTTTGCAATTTAAATTTGAAACTGCAAAGCCGATTGCTCGGAAATCTTGTAAATATTTTAAGGTTATCGTAATCACGGTAAATCGTTAAGCAAAATTTATTCTTTACCCCCTCCCAAAAACTGATGACGTCATCTCAAAATTTTGCCGAACAAATCCTATCCAAAATGTGCCAAAATGAGTTTTACGTTTTACTCTATTTTCTCAAAGGATATGTCATTTGCCAAAATAAGACTTATCTTAGCAAGTACTACCCTTTGAGAAAATAAGGGCGGGGCTAGTACTTGCTGACATAATTTCTATTTTGGCAAATGACATATCCTTTGAGAAAATAGGAGCGGGTGGGCGGAGCTAGTACTTTGTAAGATTAGACTGATTTTGACAAATGACATATCCTCTGAGAAAATAGGGAGCGGGTGGGCGGGCCTAGTATTTGTTAAAATAAAAGTGATTTTGCCCCTATTAATGTTGTAAAAACTTGTGATATTTAAAGGTGTTAAATTGCAAATTTCCATCGAGTTAAATTCCTAAATCTACCCGAAATGTGCGAAATATACCCATGACATCATTAAAGCAAAGTCTATGGTTGTATCTCTAATTTGTTTATTTTCATGAGGTGACGTGATTGGTTTAAATAAAAAAGCGACCATAAATTAAACACATGCTTAATTTTCATAAAAATTCGTTCAAATTTGTGGGTTTGAATTGAATTATAAACGTCACTCAGTCGAAATAAATGACTTGATTTTTAAGTTTTTAGATTGAATGTACACCTTTCGAAAATAAGTCGTTTTTTTAAATGCTGATTTCAAAATTGAGGTTATGGCGATATTTTTTGTACAAATTTCCAAGGTTACTTTATACTGTAGTTAGTATCGAAAGAACAATAAAAACATGTCAAGACAGTAATGGATTTTTGAAAGTTTGTCTTTGATTGTTGCGTTTTCATCTCAACTTTCAAATTGACAATAATCTGACAAGACGAAGATTCTATCAATGATAAATCTTCAGAATTCCATGCCTTCATTAATTTTTATGACAGTTCATTAAAATTTGTGTGATTATAATGTATTTATTAATTCCTCCCCCCTTGGAAGTGAATGACGTCATTGTAAAATATATTAACTAAATATTTGTTAAAAAATGTGCTTCATTATGTGCACTTTGGTGACATTTTTTTTTAATTGTTTATACAGAGTGTGGAAAAAATAAAGACTTTAATTACTTTTATTAATAATGAAACCAAAAATGGTTTATCTAATTTTGTATTTTATCCAATTATTCCAAGATTTGTTATAATCAATTTTTGTTTTATCAAGTGTCTTCATTTAAATTTTAAAAACGTTTAATATTTTTTGGTTTATAATTTTACAAACATAAACGTCAGTACCATTTGACTTTTGTGGAAAAATAAACAAAATGTCGTCTCATGTCACGAGATTAAAATAATTTATATTCAGGTGTTAATCAAATTGAAAATAAAAAATGGGTTATTTGATTACAACATTGTTAAAAATCCTTCTATGGGAATAAAAATAACGGTATCTAAACTAATGCGCCACAAACATTGCGCCATATTATACAAGCCTCGACTAGTCGAAACTTGCACACTGGAGCGACGTCACCTTTATTAGTACCACTTTAAATGACTGAGTTTATTAGTTTCTGTTCATACTCTGATGCACAAAACATGGGCGTTTTCCCACAGGTGTTATTCACATATTTAATTATTTTTTTTATTATTATTATTGTTTTTTTTTTAAATTTGTTTACAAAGGAGGAGGAAGAATTTAAACCAATCCCGATCGAGTGTTTCGGGACCGCCGATCAACCCTACACCGTCCCCCAATTTCCCCCAGACCAGCCCCAAGACCTCGGCACCGAAGAATATTCAGGCCCTTTTAACTTCGAAGTCCTGATTATCCCCAGCGAGCAGAAAACACCATGGGAGGTAAATAAGCCACACTTGTAATCTCACCTTAACCAAAAAATTTCCAGTACTCGTCCAAACTAAACAAAATCTTCATCGGGATCAATCTGAAATTCCCAGTGGCCTTCACCCTCACCCACCGCCCCCAAAACCTAAACCTGTACGTGCGAGCCACCCCCATTTTCAGCCAGTCCCAGTTTTTCGAAGAACCAGTGCACAGATGCGTCGCCCATCAACATGCCCAGGACCCATCCAACCATGGCTTGCCCGTGCACGTTTTCCAGCACATAATTAGGTGCACGAACGACATGACCCAGTACTTCGGGGACAGAAACAGTGGGACGAGGCTTAATATAGTAATCCCGTTAGGCAGACCCCAGACAGGCAGTGACGTCATCAAGGAGTTCTACCACTTCGTGTGTAAGAATTCTTGTCCGTCGGGGATGAACAGGAAGCCTATTGATGTGGTTTTTACTTTGGAGAATGAAATGTGAGGGGGTTGTTGGGGGTGAGTTTTTGTGTAATTTGTTGTTGTAGGGGGGAGGTGTTTGGGAGGAGGTTGCTGTCGGTGAGGATATGTTCGTGCCCGAAGAGGGACAGGGAGAAGGAGGAGAAGGATTTGGAGAAGAATCATCCGCCGCAGGCGAAGAAGCGGAAGCTGGTGGGGGGGAGCGGGGATGGAGGCAGGAGGGAGGGGGGTGGAGGAGGCGATAAGAAAATGCATAGCGTGAATGTGAGTATCAATTTATTAATAATAAAGTAAAATAGTGTGACAAATTTTTTAGTTTAATATCGTTGGAAAGGAGAACTATTTGCATATTTTGACGGTTGCTCGAGATCGAATGGCGGCCGAAATCGTAAATCTAGAAACCAAAAATGGGCCTGATCAAGCCTACAGAAAAAGTTACAACGAAATATGCAGCCTTATTGGTAATTATTCTTCTGGTTGTTGTAACTATTTTTGTTGTTTTTTTTTTATTTCAGATAAAGCTACTACAGAGTGAGAAATTTTAATATACCTGTTTTAATGGTTGAATTTTAAATTTTATTTCGTGTTAGTTGTTGTAACTTGACAAAAATAATTGCAATATAAATATTGTTAGACCATGTAAAGTGTGCGTCCACACAGGATTTTGCACCAAAACGCCGCTGAATGTTCTAACCGATGAATTTTATATTTTTCGCATGTGTACCATTCCGATTTTTATATTTACACATTTCCACCCATATATTTTTATATTGTTGAAATATACATTTAGAACAGAATTGTGGTTCATTTCCATCCAAATTACCCTCGCCTTCGTGAATAATCAATTTTCACATCAATAAGAAAATATACTTCAAACAACAAAGTCATTTACATTTAATCATATCCCTGTCAAGAGTTTCATTAATTCTTTGCATAAATAAAGACTTCAAATAAACTTTTGACGCAAAACCTCGTGTGAGTGGTCCCACGGTTGGAAAAAAACACCTGTTGCTACGCCACGCGAGATTGAAGCAAATATTTGTGAGTAATCTGTGGATTTAAGATCAAAGCAGCACTTCTTTGACGATTTAAACTTCGCAAGCCAACACGTATGGTCGACAAACAAAAGTTAGACATACTCAAAGGTGGAATTATTTTGCGACGAGTCATCCAACAAGGAACCACGTTCACAAATTTCAAAAATTAAGCTAATTGTTTCTCAACACTCGTAGTTGTGTTATTTGGATATTGTTGCACGTTTAACGCCGCTTGAAACAATTGTGCTTTGGTACGACACGCTATACCGCGCCTTTTTGCATAACGCTATACCGTTTCGAAATCAAAGAAGTTTTCTCGTCTTTATGCATAAAATGCAAATACTACAAAAACATCAGTAATCCCAAATGAGATTTAAGTCCCGCAGCTTTGCGTATATAAAGTTGGAAGCTCCGCTCCATGGTCACAACGTCGCCAAACATCTCCAGACCAACATGGCTTTCCAAATCCGGTAATTCGCGCCATTCTTACCAACCCAAAGTTACCAACTTTTTTCAGAATCTTCTCAACTATCGCTGTTTTCCTCCTGGTCACTTGGATGTTCCTCAGCGACGCTCAAGCTCAGGTAACCTTCTCTCGGGACTGGAATCCGGGGAAAAGAGGCGAAAATCCGGATTTTCATAACGCGATGAAAACGGCTTCCGCGGTTTGCCATCTGCTTATAGTGGGTGAGTAAAAAGGTTTTGATTTTGTTGTCAATGTGGTTTTTTAGAATCAAGTGCGCCAATTGGCTACTTGTGACAACAGGGACGAGATTGAACCCGGAGCGAATAATATTTTTGGCGGACGACGATAAAACGACACGGTGACAGGAGTCCGGATTATAGATGTTAGCTATGTACTTTATTAAATATTTAATTGACGTGAAGCTGATTTGAATTTCCCGCCTTTTTATGTTGGGGAAGCACATATTAGTGGGATGAAAATAAAATTTAAACATTTAGGAAAAGTGGTGTTGTGGTTTTATTAAAACCCAAACCCCCGCAACCAGAAAAACAAAATTAAAAACTAAAAAAAATAGTTTCGGAGTTGTGACTATTCGAACTAATGAGAAAATTAGTCCAAACCGTGCACTTCATTTTTGATTTGTAAAGCGACTCTTTGTCTTACATTTCTAACGACAATTATGCAATAGTTCTCTTTAATAATAATTATTATTATTAACAACAAACGAATGAAAATCTTTTTGTTGTGTCGATAATTCTAAGAAATGGGACCACAAAGTGACAAATAACATAACCTCACTTAAAAAAAATCGTTTTTCCCGTTATACTTACATATTTATCATGAAATAGTTTTGCTACAGCGACAACACGCACCATGTACAACTTCCTAGACCCCAAACTAATGCCAAAGCTACAATGCAGCGCCCCCGCAATGGACAACTACGAGCCCCACAATTTAATCAGCGACAACGAAGCCGTAAGGGCCCGGGGCTTCCTCGCTTACACCGTAACGCGCCCCCCTATCGAGCTCGAGTTCGAGTTTCTCTGCTCGGTAGACATTTCTTTCATAATTTTGCAAACTTCCATTGGGAATCAAAAGTGCACCGGAATCGAACTTTTCGCCAGAAGTGAAGCCTCCTCCTACGTTTCTATAGCAAAGGCGGTTTATAACACACCCGGACTCACCTTTTGCACCAGCAGGAAGTACTCACGGACGAATTTACCGCCCAACCATGACCCAACCAACGGGTTGTTTTTTTTTAAGAATGACACAGTTCGCGTTTTTATGAATGCGAAATTTTTGAAAGTGGTGATTTTTAGGACCGAGCGGACTGTTCCGTGTTTGGGGGGGATTAAGGTGTTTGGGAAACCGGCGAGGAGTTGCTCGGAAGCCACTGTGACCACGATTGATAGAATCATGGGGCGGATTGTACCGAAAGTTACCACTGGTGGAAAAGAAAATAATACCAATTTTGCGATTCCACAAGACTTTATTGATGATTTAACTTGTGAGGTTATGGCGGTTCCCATGACCCTTCCAAGCGGAAAAACGGTAGATAGGGATACTTTAGAAAAACACATAGAAAATGAGAAGTCGTTTGGGCGAAAACCAGGTGACCCTTTCACTGGATTGAACTTTACAGAAAATCGAAAGCCTGTGATGAATGTAGCTTTAAAAAGCCGGATTGACATGTTTCTAATCCAGAATTCAACCAATCCAAGCACTTTTAGTTTGAAACGAACCCTAGGTAGTGACCAAATTAATAGCTTTAAGAGACTGAGGACCAGTGAGACCAGTGTTCAGTGTTGTGTTTGTCAACAAGACCAAAATTTGTATGAAATTCCGTGTCGGCATTATTATTGTAGACAGTGTTTACTAACCTTATTATCACACAAGTGTAACATTTGTAACACTGAATTTTCAAAAAGTGAAGCCACTCGCTTTCATGTTTAATTTTTCTAATAAAATGAAATTCGCGCTTGGAAATGTCAACCATTACCAACCCACTAAACCCAACTTCGTCCCCAGTGTTAGGTTGGTACTTCCGTGACAAGAGACATAACACTGATACAAACAAAGGTGTTTTTCTTAAATAAACCACTTCAATTCAATCAAAATTGAGCCTCTAATGAATACCTCCTTAACGTTCGAGGTTTTGCTGTACCTTAATTCGTACTATTTTGGTTTATTCGCAGTCTGTGAGATAGGTATGAACATTGTAAAATATATGAATTTCACCGATATAAAACATTTTACAACCGATTTTGGTATTTTAATGGCTGTATGTGCGATAGAGTTGTTTCGAGTGATTTTAGCGAGAAAGGGAAACTTGACTGAGCGAAGTAAGTCAATTTTTTCGATGTCGTCATTTTTGAGCTTTTTTTTCTAGAGTGGCCCGTTTTGGTTGCTATTTTTTTAACGATACCGTCTCTTTGTGGCGTTCTTTATTTAATGATATGGCAAACGCATATTCTGAGATTCGAATACATTATTTGCGGGATCCAAGTGGGATTGCAGTTTGTTGAGATTGTAACAGGGATTTTGTGTCTTCTACCATTCTGTAAAACTCCTGAGTATTATTAGACTAATATTAATCTGTAATAAGACATTGATAAAATAAATATTTATTCAACAACACCCTTTTATTATCCGATTGGTTTTGCGGATCGATAATTTGAAAGTGGTGGGATTGCGGTCGCTGTATTGGTACCACTGGAAAGTGACGTCGTCACGCTAACCTAACCTAGGTTTTTGTTTACATTCAAAAACATCAAATAAAATTAAAAAAAAAAACGACACCACGATGACTGACCACCAAAACAACGAAGATTCCCAATACGATCTATATTTGCAAGAAATTGAAGGGATTGATGACTACTGGGGGCCGACTTTCAGGTGGGCGGACACTTGTGTTATCTTTCATTTAATCCCGGTTTTAGAGCCATTTACGACAATGACCAGCACGTGAAATTTAGAGACAAGTTAGAACAAAGGATCAAACACCACGACAAAGACATAGAGAGGCTGTGTAACGTTTACTATCAAGGGTTTATTGAATCAATCCGAGAACTACTAGAAGTGCGAACTCAAGCTAAAATACTGAACGTAAATACAGATAGTTGTTGTAACTGTTTCTACAGTTGGTGTTCCAGGGTCAAGTGTCCACCCTCGACACTCATTTACACCAAGCTGCCAAAAATATTTCTAAATCGGGGACGGAGTTGCTGCAAGCACGCAAAGTCCAAAGTAATATTGCTGTAGTGATTGCTCAGTTGAATTTGTGTTTGCCGGTGTTGACGTCGTATTCAAAATTGAAGAAGCAAATCGCGGAAAAACGGTATTTATGACAGTTTTAGGGCTTTAATTTTTACTAATTTGTGTTGGTAGGTATTATCCAGCGCTAAAAACCCTGGAGGAGTTGGAACATCTGCACTTGCCACATGTGGCTAATTACAGGTTTTCGTCGCAGTTAAAAGAATCTATACCGAAGTGAGTCATTAACCCCCCCCCCTCCAAAAAAAATATCGTATAATTTTTTTTTTTAATCTACTAATGTCAAATAATTAATTTTTGTTTGGTTTGCCGCTTTGTCGATTTAAAGATTAATCACAACTGTCAACTTGACATTACGTGTGAACCAATCACTTCGCGGCAATGTAGTAATTGTCAGTGTTAAAGTGAGCGGCAAAAGTGGAAAACTGCATACCACATATAATTTTAAAGGTCGATTTATAAACTTGTCGCTGACGTTGCCGGTGTAAGATAAATACGCAGCGAAGGTATGCGTCGTTTATAACATCCGTTGACGTTGGGTTTTCAACCAATCAAATTGCGATAGTGTGCAGTGCTGCCAACTTGAAGGAAAATCCACCACATTTTTCTGATTGACAGCACTAACGAAAATCAAATTTTAATAGAGATAACAAGAAATGGTAAAACATGTTTAAAACGGTAAATTTTTGTAGGAACGTATCGGTTTGCAATTAGGCTCCGCCCCTCGGTCTGATAACGAATGAAAAATTCTTCACGATTTCTCAATCAGGGCGGATGGGATTAGTTTTCTTTGTATAACACGCTTACTTAAGATCATATTTCACATGGTAATTTCTCGTGTAAAAATAAGGATTTTACATTTAGGCCCCGCCCCTCGGCTTACCACGAATAAACAAATCATCAGAATTGAAATAGGGCGGGTGGGCGGGGCTTATATTTTGCCTTTTTTGTCTTAATACTCATAATTGCAAAATCGGTATTTCTTTATACCAATTTTCCATTTTAAACATGTTTTAAGTTTCATGTTATGAAAAGAAGTCTACACATATTAAAATAAAAAGTCAAAATGTGGGCCCGCCCACCCGCCCGACCTCAATTGTGATGATTTTTTTTATTCGTCGAGAACCCAGGGGGCGGAGCTTAACTGCAAAATACTTATTTCTTTACAGGGATTTAAAAACATATTTTTGAGTATCGTGTTGTTCAAAGAATACCATGTATATTAATTAAAAAAGGCAAAATATAAACCACGCCCACCCCCACCCCACTTCTCAATTGTGACGATTTTTAGAAACTTAAAACACGTTTAAAATGGTAAATTTTATAAGGAAATTATGGACTTTGTAATTAGGCTCCGCCCCTAGGTCTGCTAACGAATGAAAACTTCATGCAAAATATCAGGGGTGGGACTTGATCGCGAATTAACTTTAATTTCGCTTTCTATAAACTGGGTCATAGTATTCTTTAAATAACAGGATATTCAAAAACATGTTTTTAATTTCTAGTAGAGAAATAAAGATTTTGCAGTTAAGCTCCGCCTTCTTTGCTCACGACGAATAAAAAAATCGTCACAATTGAGATAGGGTGGGTGGGTGGGGCGTATATATTTTACCTTGGTTTCTTAAAATGTAAAGTCGTCTTTTCACAACAAGAAACTTAAAACATTTTCAAAACGGTAAATTTGTATAGGGAAATATCGATTTTGTTAACGCTCCGCCCCCCGGTCTGACAACGAATGAAAAATTCATCACGATTGAGATCGAGACAGATGGGTGGGGCTTCTCTTTTGGTTTTCTTTTTTAATTAATACATTGAGTTTTCTTTGTATAACACGATTACTTAAGAACATATTACGCATGGTAATTTCTCATAAAAAAAATTAGGATTTTACAATTAAGCTCCACCCATCAGCTTAACGATGAATAAAAAAAATCATCAGAATTGAGATAGGGCGGGTGGGCGGGGCTTATATTTTCCCTTTGTTTTTTAATATACACAGACATCTTTTCATAACAAGAAACTTAAAACATGGTTAAAATAGTTTTTACAAAGAAACATAGATTTTCCAAATCTTCCATTTTAAACATGTTTTAAGTTTCTTGTTGTGAAAAGATGACTACACATATTAAGAAAAAAAGGCAAAATATAAAGCCCGCCCACCCACCCTGTCCCAATTGTGATGATTTTTTTTTCGCCGTCAACTAACGAAACGAATATTCACTGGAAATTACTTGTTTCTTATAAAAAATTAAAAATGAATATCGTGTTGTTCAAAAAATACTATGTATACATATTAAGAAAAAAAAGGCAAAATATATACCCCACCCACCCGCCCTCTCTCAATTGTAATGTTTTTTTTTATTCGTAAAGAACTAAGGGGGCGGAGCTTACCTCCAAAATACTTATTTCTTTACAAGAAAAAAAGCATGGCTTTGAGTATCGTGTTCTTCAAAGAATACTAACTATGTATATTAAGAAAAAAAGGCAAAATATAAAACCCCACCCACCCACCCCATCTCAATTGTGATATTTTTTTCTATTCTTAGAAACTTAAAATATGTTTAAAATGATAAATTCTTGTAGACAAATGTAGATTTTGGCAATTAAGCTCCGCCCCTCGATCTGACAACGAATGAAAAATTAATTACTATTTAGATTAGGGCAGGTACAGGTGGGGCTTAATCTTTGGCTTTATTTTTTTCTTAATAGATATTCTTTGAACAACACGATACAAAAACACATGTTTTTAATTTCTCGCAGAGAAATAAGGATTTTGCAGTTAAGCTCCGCCCTCTTGGCTCACGACGAATGAAAAAATCGTCACACTTGAGATAGGGTGGGTGGGTGGGGCTTATATTTTACCTTGGTTTCTTAAAATGTAAAGTCGTCTTTTCACAACAAGAAACTTAAAACATTTTTAAAACGGTAAATTTGTACACGGAAATATCGATTTTGTAAACGCTCCGCCCCCCGGTCTGACAACGAATGAAAAGTTCATCGTGATTGAGATCGAGACGGATGGGTGGGGCTTCTCTTTTGGTTTTCTTTTTTAATTAATACATTGAGTTTTCTTTGTATAACACGATTACTTAAGAACATATTACGCATGGTAATTTCTCATAAAAAAAATCATCAGAATTGAAATAGGGCGGGTGGGGGGGCTTATATTTTGCCTTTTTTTATCTTAATATTCATAGCCATCTTTTCGCAACAAAAAACTTAAGACATTATTAAAATGGTACATTTTTGCAAGGAAATATGGATTTTGCAATTATGGGGCGGAGCCTAATTGCAAAATCGGTATTTCCTTATACAAATTTTCTACATTAAACATGTTTTAAGTTTCATGTTATGAAAAGAAGTTTACACATATTAAAACAAAAAGACAAAATGTAGGCCCGCCCACCCGCCTGATTTCAATTGTGATGATTTTTTTTTTATTCGTCGAGAACCCAGGGGGCGAAGCCTAACTGCAAAATACTTATTTCTTTACAGGGAATTAAAAACATATTTTTGAGTATCGTGTTGTTTAAAGAATACCATGTATATTAATTAAAAACGGCAAAATATAAACCCCGCCCACCCCACCCCCTTTCTCAATTGTGACGATTCTTAGAAAGTTTAAAACGGTTAAAATGGTAAATTTCGTAAGGAAATTATGGATTTTGCAATTAGGCTCCGCCCCTAGGTCTGCTAACGAATGAAAACTTCATGCAGTATATCAGGGCAGATATAGGTGGGACTTAATCTTTGGCTTTAATTTTTTCTTAATATACATAATATTCTTTTTTCTTAATATATGTAGTCGTTTTTTCAAAACAAGAAACTTAAAACATGTTTAAAATGGTAAATTCTTGTGGACAAATATGGACCTTGCAATTAAGCCCCGCCCCTCGATCTGACAACGAATGAAAAATTCATCATAATTGAGAATTGAGATCGGGGCGGGTACAGGTGGGGCCTAATCTTTAATTTTTTTCTTAATAGACATGGTATTCTTTAAACAACAGGATATTCAAAAATATGTTTTTAATTTCTCGTAGAGAAATAAAGATTTTGCAGTTAAGCTCCGCCTTCTTGGCTCACGAGGAATAAAAAAATCGTCACAATTGAGATAGGGCGGGTGGGTGGGGCTTATATTTTGCCTTGTTTTCTTAAAATGTATAGTCATCTTTTCACAGCAAAAAACTTAAAACATGTGTAAAAGAGTTTGAAAATTTGTATAGGGAAATATCGATGTTGCAATTAGGTTCCGCCCCCCGGTCTGACAACGAATGAAAAATTCATCACGATTGAGATCGAGACGGATGGGTGGGGCTTCTCTTTTGGTTTTCTTTTTTAATTAATACATTGAGTTTTCTTTGTATAACACGATTACTTAAGAACATATTACGCATGGTAATTTCTCATAAAAAAAAATAAGGATTTTACAATTAAGCTCCACCCATCAGCTTAACGACGAATAAAAAAAAATCATCAGAATTGAGATAGGGCGGGTGGGCGGGGCTTATATTTTGCCTTTTTTTTTCTTAATATACACAGCCATCTTTTCATAACAAGAAACTTAAAACATGGTTAAAATAGTTTTGACAAAGAAACATAGATTTTGCAATTATGGGGCGGAGCCTATTGCAAAATCGATAAACAAATTTTCCATTTTAAACATGTTTTAAGTTTCTTGTTGTGAAAAGATGACTACACATATTAAGAAAAAAAGGCAAAATATAAAGCCCGCCCACCCGCCCTGTCTCAATTGTGATGATTTTTTTTCGCCGTCAACTAACGAAACGAATATTTACTGGAAATTACTTATTTCTTACAAAAAATTAAAAACGAATATCGTGTTGTTCAAAGAATACTATGTATACATATTAAGAAAAAAAAGACAAAATATATACCCCGCCCACCCGCCCTCTCTCAATTGTGATGATTTTTTTTATTCGCCAAGAACCAAGGCGGCCGAGCTTACCTCCATAATACTTATTTCTTTACAAGAAAAAAAACATGGCTTTGAGTAACCTGTTCTTCAAAGAATACTAACTATGTATATTAAGAAAAAAGGCAAAATATAAAACCCCGCCCACCCACTCCATCTCAATTGTGATAATTTTTTTATTCTTAGAAACATAAAACATGTTTAAAATGATAAATTCTTGTAGACAAATGTGGATCTTGGCAATGAAGCCCCGCCCCTCGATCTGACAACGAATGAAAACTTAATTACTATTTAGATTAGGGCAGGTAAAGGTGTGGCTTAATCTTTGGCTTTATTTTTTTCTTAATAGATATTCTTTGAACAACACGATACAAAAAACATGTTTTTAATTTCTCGCAGAGATATAAGGATTTTGCAGTTAAGTTCCGCCCTCTTGGCTCACGACGAATCAAAAAATCGTCACAATTGAGATAGGGTGGGTGGGTGGGGCTTATATTTTACCTTAGTTTCTTAAAATGTAAAGTCGTCTTTTCACAACAAGAAACTTAAAACATTTTTAAAACGGTAAATACGTATAGGAAAATATCGATTTTGTAAACGCCCCGCCCCCCGGTCTGACAACGAATGAAAAGTTTATCACGATTGAGTTGGAGACGGATGGGTGGGGCTTCTCTTTTAGTTTTCTTTTTAATTAATACATTGAGTTTTCTCGATTTTTCACGATTACTTAAGAACATATTACGCATGGTAATTTCTCATAAAAAAATAAGGACTTTACAATTAAGCTCCGCCCATCAGCTTAATGACGAATAAAAAAAATCATCAGAATTGAGGTAGGGCGGGTGGGCGGGGCTTATATTTTGCCTTTTTTTTTCTTAATATACACAGCCAACTTTTCATAACAAGAAACTTAAAACATGGTTAAAATAGTTTTTACAAAGAAACGTAGATTTTGCCATTATGGGGCGGAGCCTATTGCAAAATCGATATGTTTTTATACAAATTTTCCATTTTAAATATATTTTAAGTTTTTTGTTGTGAAAAGATGACTATACATATTAAGAAAAAAAGACAAGATATAAAGCCCGCCCACCCGCCCTGTCTCAATTGTGATGATTTTTTTTTCGCCGTCAACTAACGAAACGAATATTAACTGGAAATTACTTATTTCTTACAAAAAATTAAAAATGAATATCGTTTTATTCAAAGAATACTATGTATACATATTAAGAAAAAAAAGGCAAAATATATACCCCGCCCACCCGCCCTCTCTCAATTGTGATGATTTTTTTTTATTCGCCAAGAACCAAGGGGGCGGAGCTTACCTCAAAAATACGTATTTCTTTACAAGAAAAAAGAACATGGCTTTGAGTATCGTGTTCTTCAAAGAATACTAACTATATATATTAATAAAAATGGCATAATATAAAACCCCGCCCACCCACCCCATCTCAATTGTGATATTTTTTCTCTTCTTAGAAACTTAAAACATGTTTAAAATGATAAATTCTTGTAGACAAATGTGAATCTTGGCAATTAAGTCCCGCCCCTCGATCTGACAACGAATGGAAAATTAATTACTATTTAGATCAGGGCACGTATAGGTGGGGCTTAATCTTTGGCTATATCTTTTCTTAATAGATATTCTTTGAACAACACGATACACAAAAACATGTTTTTAATTTCTCGCAGAGAAATACAGATTTTGCAGTTAAGCTCACGACGAATAAAAAAAATCATCACAATTGAGACAGGGTGGGTGGGCGGGGCTTACATTTTGCCTTGCTTTCTTAATATGTGTAGTCATCTTTTCACAATAAGAAACTTAAAACATGTTTAAAATTGTACATTTGTTTAGGGAAAAACCGATTTTGCAATTACGCCCCGCCCCTCGGTCTGACAGCAAATGAAAACTTCATCACGGTTAAGCTCGAGACGAATGGGTGGGGCTTCTCTTTTGATTTTCATTTTTAATTAATACATCGAGTTTTCTTTGTATAACAAGATTACTTAATAACATATTTCGCATGGTCATTTCTCGTAGAAAAATAAGAATTTTACAATTAAGCTCCACCCATCAGCTTAACCACGAATAAAAAAAAAATCATCAAAATTGAGATAGGGCGGGTGGGCGGGGCTTATATTTTGCCTTTTTTTTTTTCTTAATATACACAACCATCTTTTCATAACAAGAAACTTAAAACATGGTTAAAATAGTTTTTACAAAGAATACTAGATTTTGCAATTATGGGGCGGAGCCTATTGCAAAATCGATATGTTTTTATACAAATTTTCCATTTTAAACTTCTTGTTGAGAAAAGATGACTACACATATTAAGAAAAAAAGGCAAAATATAAAGCCCGCCCACCCGCCCTGTCTCAATTGTGATGATTTTTTTTCCCCGTCAACTAACGAAACGAATATTAACTGGAAATTACTTATTTCTTACAAAAAATTTAAAATGAATATCGTGTTGTTCAAAGAATACTATGTATACATATTAAGAAAAAAAAGACAAAATATATACCCCGCCCACCCGCCCTTTCTCAATTGTGATGATTTTTTTTATTCGCCAAGAACCAAGGGGGCGGAGCTTACCTCAAAAATACGTATTTCTTTACAAGAAAAAAGAACATGGCTTTGAGTATCGTGTTCTTCAAAGAATACTAACTATGTATACTAATAAAAAGGGCAAAATATAAAACCCCGCCCACCCACCCCATCTCAATCTTGATATTTTTTTAATTCTTAGAAACTTAAAACATGTTTAAAATGATAAATTCTTGTAGACAAATGTGGATCTTGGCAATTAAGCCCCGCCCCTCGATCTAACAACGAATGGAAAATTCATTATTATTTAGATCAGGGCAGGTATAGGTGGGGCTTAATCTTTGACTTATTTTTTTCTTAATAGATATTCTTTGAACAACACGATACACAAAAACATGTTCTTAATTTCTCGCAGAGAAATAAGGATTTTGCAGTTTAGCTCCGCCCTCTTGGCTCACGACGAATAAAAAAATCGTCACAATTGAGATAGGGTGGGTGGGTGGGTCTTATATTTTACCTTAGTTTCTTAAAATGTAAAGTCGTCTTTTCACAACAAGAAACTTAAAACATTTTTAAAACGGTAAATACGTATAGGCAAATATCGATTTTGTAAACACCCCGCCCCCCGGTCTGACAACGAATGAAAAGTTCATCACGATTGAGTTGGAGACGGATGGGTGGGGCTTCTCTTTTAGTTTTCTTTTTTAATTAATACATTGAGTTTTCTCGATTTTTCACGATTACTTAAGAACATATTACGCATGGTAATTTCTCATAAAAAAATAAGGACTTTACAATTAAGCTCCGCCCATCAGCTTAATGACGAATAAAAAAAATCATCAGAATTGAGATAGGGCGGGTGGGCGGGGCTTATATTTTGCCTTTTTTTCTTAATATACACAGCCATTTTTCATAACAAGAAACTTAAAACATGGTTAAAATAGTTTTTACAAAGAAACGTAGATTTTGCCATTATGGGGCGGAGCCTATTGCAAAATCGATATGTTTTTATACAAATTTTCCATTTTAAATATATTTTAAGTTTCTTGTTGTGAAAAGATGACTATACATACTAAGAAAAAAAGGCAAGATATAAAGCCCGCCCACCCGCCCTGTCTCAATTGTGATGATTTTTTTTTTCGCCGTCAACTAACGAAACGAATATTAACTGGAAATTATTTATTTCTTGAAATAATTAAAAATGAATATCGTGTTGTTCAAAGAATACTATGTATACATATTAAGAAAAAAAAGGCAAAATATATACCCCGCCCACCCGCCCTCTCTCAATTGTGATGATTTTTTTTCGCGGTCAACTAACGAAACGAATATTAACTGGAAATTACTTATTTCTTACAAAAAATTAAAAATGAATATCGTGTTGTTCAAAGAATACTATGTATACATATTAAGAAAAAAAAAGGCAAAATATATACCCCGCCCACCCGCCCTCTCTCAATTGTGATGATTTTTTTTATTCGCCAAGAACCAAGGGGGCGGAGCTTACCTCCAAAATACTTATTTCTTTACAAGAAAAAAAACCATGGCTTTGAGTATCGTGTTGTTCAAAGAATAATGTATATTAAGAAAAAAGGCAAAATATAAAATACCGCCCACCCACCCCATCTCAATCTTGATATTTTTTTTATTCTTAGAAACTTAAAACATGTTTAAAATGATAAATTCTTGTAGACAAATGTAGATCTTGGGAGTTAAGCCCCGCCCCTCGATTTGACAACGAATGAAAAATTCATTACTATCTAGATCAGGGCAGGTATAGGTGGGGTTTAATCGTTGGCTTTATTTTTTTCGTAATAGATATTCTTTGAACAACACGATACTCAAAAACATGTTTTTAATTTCTCGCAGAGAAATACAGATTTTACAGTTAAGCTCCGCCCTCTTGGCTAAACACGAATAGAAAAGATTATCACAATTGAGATAGGGTGGGTGGGCGGGATGTACATTTAAATACGTCAGCGGGAACTTCAACAGCAAGTTTATAAATCCCACTTAAGTGTGATTGTTTGTAAATAGTAACGAAAATGTGTGAATTTTGTAGGATTAGAGACAGCATTGAGAGAGCGTCAATGTCGGATTTAAAGGATTTTCTTGAAAATATTAGAAAATTTTCGCCAAAAATTGGCGAAGTGGCCATGAAACATGTAAGTATGTGACTATTGATAGATTTTCGTTATCACTGAGTACTTGTAGACTAGTGAACAATTAGCAAGTGATCCGACGGTTATAGGACGTAAGAAAAAACGAGTGGCTCCACAACCATCAGGTACACTTCGTAAACAAAAAATTTAATAAATAAATAAATAAATAATTTGTGACCAGGCGACGGCCCTGGCCAATTTTCAGAGGAAGATCTGAGCGCCCAGGAACTCATCGATTTTTCCCCGATTTACCGCAGCCTTCACATTTCCACCGTACTTAACACCAGATCCACTTTCGAAACTTACTATAGAGCGGAAAGAACGAAACAAGCGCGTTTAGTCCTACAACCACCCACCAACATGGTAACTATTACCATCACCATTATTACAATAACCCAAATTTTCATAGCACGAGTGTGAAGAGAGCTACCGCGCCTACATTCACGCCGTTTTGGGCTTCTTCATCCTCGAAGACCACGTCCTAAACACAGGCAACGGCCTCATAACCCGCGCCTTCCTGGACGAAATGTGGACCATGGCCCTGTCAAAAATCGTCAGCGCGCTCCAAACCCACTCAGCTTACTGCACAGACGCGACTTTAATTCTGCGCATCAAAGACTTAATCATGTTGTTCTGCACGACGTTGCGCAACTACGGGTACTCGGTGAAACCCCTGTGGGAGCTCGTGCGGGAACTACGCGACCACTACACCGAGGTTTTGATGCAGAGATGGGTCCAAGTGTTCCGCGAGATTCTATCAAAGGAGGATTTTCAGCTGTTCCAGGTGGATGACCACGAGGAGTACGAAAATATCTTGTCTTCGTTTCCTTTGGATGAAGATCTGCCGGATGATATCGTCTTCCCGTATAAGTTTCCGTTTTCAGGGATGGTCCCCAAAGTGTACCAACAAGTGAAAGAGTTCATCTACGCCTGTTTGAAGTTCTCTGAGGATTTAAATCTAAGGTTGGGTGTTTTCGTTGTTGGTTTTTAAACATAGAGGGTTTTAGTCAAGTGGAAGTGGACGAGATGATACGTAAATCGATGAATTTGTTGCTGACGCGGACGTTCAGTGGGTGCTTGTCGTCGACGTTTCGCAGCCCGCATATCAACCTTCAGGAAATTATACAAATTATTATCGATACAGGGTTTCTAGAGGAGGCCACGGTTTATCTAGATCAGTTTATTTCGAACATCACGGGGTAAAACTTTGTCCGTTTTCGATTTATTTTTTATAAATTGGTTGATTATGATAGCGAGGAGTCTCGGGGTGTCTCCACTGGTGTTGTTCAAGGACAGCCAGCCATGTTTCGGGTGGCTAGAGAAGACGCCGTTCGACAAATCTGCGAAAAACTCAAACAAAAATTGAACGAGTTCTACGAATTGGAGAGTTATGATTGGTTATTGGTTGAACCCCAAGGACACGCGTCGAGTTATATTTCAGATTTGATTGCTTTTCTTCAGACGACGTTTCATAGTTTTACTAACTTGCCGCCGGAAGTGGCGCAAGTAGCGTGCAAATCGGCCTGTGCCCATATAGCGAGTTCGATGTTAGAGTTGTTGATGAATGATGAAATTAAACAAATTTCGATGGGGGCTTTGAACCAGATTAACTTGGATTTGTTGCAGTGTGAACGTGAGAACAATAAATCAGAAATGTCGTTGTGTAATTACATTTTGTAGTATTCGCCGCTTCTGAGCCCGTCAAAGGACTCCAAGAAGACGTTTTGTTGTCGTACTTTACCAAATTGAGGGAAACTCTAGACTTGTTTACGTCGTGGGATTGGCCTACGTATTTCCACGACTACGGACAAGAAACAAGTAAATACAAACAGGTTAATCCAGACACGGCCATAGTTCTTCTAGAGAAGTAAGAAAAAAACACGATTGTGACAAAATAGCGCGACTTTTGTGTGTTTAGGTTGCGGGAAGGCGACAAGAAAACCATGTTCACAGTCCTCAAGAAAAGCGAACGAGACAAGAAAAAGCTTCTAGAAACCGTACTAAAGCAGTTGCGGCAGTTAACCCAAATACCACCTAGTAAATAAGTACAATATGTAACAAACCCAACTTGTATTTATCAAAAATTGTTAGTAATTATAAATCGAAACATTTATAAATTTGAATTTCGCGCTCCCAAAAGTGTCAAGTGCGCCTGCGCACACGTTCACCATTACGTCAATTCTGCGTCCGCAGCACACTGTTAATAATTTTCGTATTTAAGTTAAAATAACCCCGAAAGTGGAAAAAATGCAGGTGCCCCCAGTTTTCATCGACGTGAGTCCTGAAGACCAGGTAAAAGTCGCTTCGAGCACGAACAAGCACCAAACACGGATCCATATGACACATTGAGGTTATGTTGTAGGCGCAAGAACTCCGGGTCTACCTCAAGAGCTTAGGTGCCGAAATTTCCGAAGAAAAATCACTTAAAGGCATCGAGGATGACTTACACAAAATCATCGGAGTGTGTGAGGCGTGTTTCAAGGAAGGTCAAGAAGTGGAAGTCGAAATGGTTCTTAATGACATAGTTTCCATAATGGTCCTTGTACGTACCAAAATAAAAATCGTCGTGTCGTTAAATCTGTGTTTCAGATTCCATCAGACCGTTCCGAGAACATCATTTTGGCCTTTTGTCAAAAATTGATCAAAGCGCCGGGTCAGAAATTGGGGCTTACGTGTTTACGAGCGCTGTGGCTGCTGTTCCAGTCGTTAGACGAGCACTCACCCATGCGCTACCACGTTTACTACCACTTGATTCTACTAGCAGAAAAGACAGACCAAGTTAAATCAGTATTCCAAGATATAGATCATTTAAAACAACAGTTCGCTCTGTGCCCCCCTACGAGCGAACAACTGCAAATTTTGTACCGGTTGTTGCATCAGGTGCTCTTGAAGAGCAACCAGAGCGAGCAAGCGGCGAAAGTGATGATCGAGCTATTGGGGACTTACACTGATAAAAACGCGTCTCATGCTAGAGAAGACGCCATCAAGTGCATAGTTTCGGCTTTAGCTGACCCAACTACGTTTCTTCTGGATCCGTTATTGTCACTTAAACCCGTCAAATTCCTCGAAGGGGAGTTAATCCACGATTTGTTGAATATCTTTGTTAGTGAAAATCTCACTGCCTATTTGAAGTTTTATCAAGAGCATAAGGAGTTTGTTACGTCTCAGGGGTTAAATCATGAACAGAACATGCAAAAAATGAGGCTTTTATCGTTCATGCAACTGGCGGAAACCAATCCTGAGATCAGTTTCGAAATAATCGAAAGAGAATTGCAGATTAACCCGGATGAAGTGGAGGCATTTATTATCGAAGGTCAGCAGAATTTCATGGGGGGTTATATTTTAATTTTGGTTTGTTTGTTTGTAGTTTTGAAAACTAAGTTGGTACGCGCTCGTATGGATCAAGCGGCTAAAAAAGTCTACGTTTCAAGCACCATGCATAGGACTTTCGGACGGGCGCAGTGGCAACAACTGCGCGATTTACTCTATTCGTGGAAACGGAACCTCAACATGGTACAAGAAGGAATGAAAAGTGTGACAGCAGCCCAATTAGAATTGTTAAACCAACAGTAATTTTATAATAATCCACGAATAAAACATCCATTTTGTCACTAGTTAGGGTTTTTCGAACACGACACGTCAAATTGGTACTCTTGCCTGTCAAAATCTATGACAGTGGACTGATGAATCACGTTTTCCCCTTAGATTATTTTTTCTGATGCAACTTTATTTTATGTATTTAGTTGTATGAAGTGAAGCGTGAGAATTGTCCAGGGTGGGTTTAATTTTTTCATTGTTAAGTGTACATTTTTAGGTTAGGCGAAATGTCAAAACGTGTGCAACCCCCGTGGTCGCCCCCGGAAGCCACACGTGGCCCGATTTTAAAAGTTTTCAATAGTCTGACGCGACAAAAGGAGCCGTTTGTGCCCATTTCTGGTAAAAAAGTGACTTGGTATAGCTGCGGGCCCACGGTTTACGACGCCTCCCATATGGGCCATGCGAGGTCATACATAACTTTTGATATTTTGAGGCGAGTCCTTGCGGATTATTTCGGCTACGATGTCTTTTTCGTGATGAATATAACAGACATCGATGATAAGATAATCAAACGAGCGCGCCAGAATTATTTATTTGAGAAATACGTAGCTGAAGAGCGGACGTTGGAAGTGGTTTTAAGTGACGCGAAATTGGTTTTAGATAAATTGTCTGAAACGACACAGAATGCCATAGATCCCGATAAGAAACAGATGTATGAGAAATTACTTACAAAGTGAGTTCTAACCTCAATTTCGACATAACCTCACTTATTGTTTGTAGTTTATCGACGTCGATTGAAGAGCTAGAAACGGCGGTGAAGAGTGGCGACAACGCAAAAATCGAACAAGCCAAGACCAACTACGTTTACAAAAGCAAGGACCCCCTTTCGGATTGGTTGGACACGAAATTTGGGGCCACTGTCACCGATAACAAAATTTTCGCGTCGTTGCCACAACACTGGGAACAAGAATTCCACAAAGACATGGAAGCGTTAAACGTAAGTACTGGTTGTTCGAAATCGTGAAACATAACCTCATTTTGTAGATACTTAAACCCCACGTACTTACCCGCGTTAGTGAATATATCCCGGAAATAGTAGCCTATATTAAAAGAATAATCACCAATGGCTTTGGCTACGAAGCTAATGGTTCGGTGTACTTCGACGTAGCCGCTTTCGATAAACAAGACAAACACTACTACGCCAAACTAGTTCCAGAAGCATACGGCGACACTAACAGTCTCCAAGAGGGCGAAGGCGACTTGACCACAATCGACCAACATAACGAAAAACATTCCCCCAACGACTTCGCCTTGTGGAAAAAAAGTAAACCAGGAGAGCCTGCGTGGGATTCCCCGTGGGGCAAAGGCCGACCTGGTTGGCACATAGAATGTTCCGCTATGGCGTCAACAATTTTCGGGGACACCCTAGATATTCACACAGGCGGTGTAGATTTGAAATTTCCGCACCATGATAACGAAATTGCCCAAAGTGAGGCACACTTTGGGGCCGCTGAATGGGTCAAGTATTTTTTGCATTCAGGTCATTTGACCATAGCCGGGTGCAAAATGTCCAAGTCTTTGAAAAATTTCGTTAGTATACAGGATGCGCTTTCTCAATATACTGCCAGACAGTTGAGGTTTGCGTTTTTGTTACATTCTTGGAGAGACACTTTGGACTATAGTCAAAATACGATGGAGGTGGCGCTGCAGTACGAAAAAATTTTTAATGTTGGTAGTATTGTTGGAAGGTGGTATTGGTGCTTTAGCTTGACGTTTTAGGAATTTTTCTTGAACGTGAAAGATTTGACAAGGGGGTTGTTGAAAAAGCCGATTTTGGTTGAGCATTATGTTAAATGGCAACGGCACGAGATGGATTTGAACACGAGTTTTCTCAAGACGCAGGAAAATGTGCATGCGGCTCTCTGTGGTACGTGGTAACACTATTAAAAAATAAATTAATAAATACGAAATTGTAGACAATATTGATACCAGGACTAGTTTAGAATCATTGAGGGATTTAGTAACCGCTAGTAATTTATACATAAGGGACAAAAAGCCCCCCAATGGTTTCCTTTTGCACGACATAGCTGTCTACATAACAAAAATTTTATCAATTTTTGGCGCCATCCACGAACCGGGCAAACTCGGATTTCCAGTGTCAACTGGCAACGAAAATAATGTACATTCGTGTTTTACGTACTTTCACGAAATTACTTTTTTATTTTTTAGAACGAGAACACCATTCTTCCGTATTTGGAAATCCTGGCGGATTTCCGCGACAAAGTCCGAACCACCGCACGATCCATCAAGGCCACCGAAATCCTCCAAGAATGTGATAAACTCCGTGACGACACTCTACCGAACGTCGGTGTTAGGTTAGAGGATCGTGAGGGCGCCCCCAGTGCTGTGAAAGTGGTAGGTCGTGAGGAGCTACTCAAGGAGAGGGAAACCAAAAGGTTGCAAGATTTAGAAAAGGCGAAAGAGAAAGAGCGGAAGAAGGCGGCGTTGGCGGCGGCACAGGAAGCGAAGGAGGCGCAGAGGAAAATACCGCCAGGCGAGATGTTCAAGCTTGAGAAGGATAAATATTCCAAGTTTGATGATAATGTAAGGGCGAGTGGTGGTTGGAGGGGGTTTGAGAGTGTTTTGTTTTAGGGGATTCCCACGCACGATGTCGAAGGGAAGGAGATTAGTAAAGGGCAGTTGAAGAAGTTGCAGAAGTTGCACCAAGTTCAGGAGAAGAAATATCAGGAATATTTGGCGTCGCGGGCTTAACAAGACGTTTAACTAAATTTGTAATTTATTTTGTAATGAAGTACTAGTGAAATTTTTTATTTGTTACTCTTTTTTAAGTATTTTAATATTTATTGTAATACATATTGTAATTGATAAGAAATAAATATTTGGATCCATATTTCGTGTTTTATTTTACATACCTTCACAAAATCTTACATTTGACAGTACATAATTTACTATTCTTAAAGTTGAGTAACTAATGAGGTGTTCGAGAATCTTCGGTAGCTTTCGGATTGGTTTCACATTAAAAAAAAAAGACATTTGGGGTCCCGGAGAAGGTTTTACATTTAAAAAAAGACAGTTTTGGGACCACCGAGAAGGTTTCACATTAAAAAAAAGTGATTTGGGCCTCCGAGAAAGTTTTACACTTTAAAAAGAGACAGTTGGGATCCCCGAGAAGGTTTTACATTTAAAAAAAAGACAGTTGGGACTCCATAGAAGGTTTAACATTTTTTAAAAGACATTTGGGACCCCCGAGGTTTCACATTAAAAAAAAAAAATTGGGGCCCCCGAGGTTTTACATTTTTAAAAAAGACAGTTTTGGCACCCCCGAAAAGGTTTCACATTAAAAGAAAGACAGATGGGACCCCCGAGAAGGTTTTACATTTTTTAGAAAAGGCAATTGGGGCCCCCGAGAAGGTTTCACATTAAGAAAAAGACATCTGGAGCCTCCGAGAAGCTTTTACATTTTTTAAAAAATACAGTTCTGGGACCCCCGAGAAGGTTTCACATTAAAAAAAAAGTGATTTGGGCCCCCGAGAAGATTTTACAGTTCAAAAAGAGACAGTTGCGATCCCCGTGAAGGTTTTACATTTTTAAAAAAAGACAATTGGGACCCCCGAGAAGGCTTTGCATTTTTAAAAAGACAGTTTTGGGACCCCCGAGACGATTTCACATTAAAAAAAGTGATTTGGGCGCCCGAGAAGGTTTTACATTAAAAAAAGACAGATGGGACCCCCGAGAAGGTTTCACATTTTTGAAAAAAGACAGTTGGGACCCCCGAGAAGGTTTTACATTTTTAAAAAAGACAGTTGGGATCCCTGAGAAGGTTTCATATTAAAAAAAAACATTTGGGGCCCCTGAGAAGGTTTTCCATTTTTAAAAAACACAGTTTTGAGACCCCCAAGAAGATTTCACATTAAAAAAAGGCAGATGGGACCCCCGAGAAGGTTTCACATAAAAAAAGACATTTGGGGCCCCTGAGAAGGTTTTACATTTTTAAAAAAGACAGTTTTGGGACCCCCGAGAAGGTTTCACACTAAAAAAAAAGACAGATGGGACCCCCGAGAAGGTTTCACATTTTTGAAAAAAGACAGATGGGACCCCCGAGAAGGTTTTACATTTTTAAAAAAGGCGGTTTTAGGACCCCCGGGAAAGTTTCACATTAAAAAAAAGACTGATGGGACCCCCGAGAAGGTTTCACATAAAAAAAAAGACATTTGGGGTCCCGGAGAAGGTTTTACATTTTTTAAAAAGACAGTTTTGGGACCCCTGAGAAGGTTTCACATTAAATAAAAGGCATTTGGGGCCCCTGAGAAGGTTTTACATTTTTAAAAAAGACAGTTTTGGGACCCCCGAGAAGGTTTCACACTAAAAAAAAGACAGATGGAACCCCCGAAAAGGTTTCAGATTAGAAAAAAAGACATTTGGGGTCCCGGAGAAGGTTTTACATTTAAAAAAAGAAAGTTTTGGGACCACCGAGAAGGTTTCACATTAAAAAAAAGTGATTTGGGCTCCGGAGAAGGTTTTACACTTTAAAAAGAGACAGTTGGGATCCTCGAGAAGGTTTTACATTTTTAAAAAAAGGCAATTGGGACCCCCGAGAAGGCTTTATATTTTTAAAAAAGACAGTTTTGGGACCCCCGAGAAGATTTCACATAAAAAAAAGACATTTGGGGTCCCGGAGAAGGTTTTACATTTAAAAAAAGTGATTTGGGCTCCCGAGAAGGTTTTACACTTTAAAAAGAGACAGTTGGGATCCTCGAGAAGGTTTTACATTTAAAAAAAAGACAGTTGGGACCCCAGAGAAGGGTTAACATTTTTAAAAAAGACAGTTGGGAACCCCAAGAAGGTTTCACATTAAAAAAAAAACATTTGGGGCCCCCGAGGTTTTACATTTTTAAAAAAGGCAGTTTTGGGAACCCCGAAAAGGTTTCACATTAAAAGAAAGACAGTTGGGACCCCCGAGAAGGTTTTACATTTTTTAGAAAAGGCAATTGGCGACCCCGAGAAGGTTTCACATTAAGAAAAAGACATCTGGGGCCTCTGAGAAGCTTTTACATTAAAAAAAAACCACAGTTTTGGGACCCCCGAGAAGGTTTCACATTAAAAAAAAGACAGACGGGACCCCCGAGAAGGTTTCACAATAAAGAAAAGTGATTTGGGCCCCCAAGAAGATTTTACAGTTTAAAAAGTGACAGTTCGGTTCTCCGAGAAGGCTTTACATTTTTAAAAAAGACAGTTTTGGGGCCCCCGAGATGGTTTCACGTTAAAAAAAGTGATTTGGGCGCCCGAGAAGGTTTTACATTAAAAAAAGACAGTTGGGACCCCCGACAAGGTTTCACATTAAAGAAAAAGACATTTGGCGCCCCCGAGAAGGTTTTACATTTTTAAAAAAGATAATTGGGACCCCCAAGGAGGTTTCACATTCATAAAAAAAGATATTTGGCGCTTCTTCGTAATTTGACCGATAAAAAATTTGTAATAACATTATCAACATGGATCATTTTAGTCACACAGTCAATTTTTGTAAAAATTTGAACTGTTAAGGAAAAACTCAAAGCGGATTCGTACACCACACTTATAGGACTATATTGACGTCATCAAATTGTTGTGTGGGGATGATTAGCAAAATTTTGGTTAGCATTTAATCATCTACATTCTACATGATGTTTCTAATAGTTATACATACAAAATTTGACACTGATCGGTCCAACAATTTCCGAGATTATGTGTCCAATAAAAATGAATACAGACACCGAATAGACAGACAGACGAAGACGGGAAACTACTTTTTTCGTACTCTGGGGGTCATGAAACGACGAGAGAGTATAAAAGTGGTCCATCGTCCGATGGATTCGATTACTATACTTCCTTAGCTTACGATCGGGAAGTAAAAATTGAGAAAAAACAGAACCAGGAAAGCAGAAAATTGAAATTTAATAGAAATGGGCAAAATTTAAACTGTTCAGTGAGTAGCGTAAATTCATGTTTCCTGGAAAAACTGGACGCCTACTACATTCGTCCACACGTAATGGTGTCTATATGAAAATTTCATGGAGTAATTAGATACCTACGACATTTAACCCTCAGCCGTCAAACAATTTTATAGTCAGTTTTAAAATAAGGAAAAGAAGGAAATGTGAAAGTTAACTGAAAATCAGAAAAAAATACGAAAATGTTCAATCGTAAATTCGAGTTTCCAGGAAGAATTGGACACCTACTATTTTTGTCTTCCATCTGTTGAGGAAACCAACATAAATTGGGTGTCAATGAAGCTTTCCTGGAGGAGTTACTGTAATTAAACACCTACGTTATTCTACCTCTATATAATGTATACAGATATTTTCCCAGCCCTCAAACAGTCAGCTTTAGAGCAAGGGAAAACAAGGAATTGGAGATTTGATTAAAAATCGGAAAAAGTTACGAATAGTTAAGTGTTAATCGCATTTTCTTGTTTCTTGGTAGAAATGGACACCTATTATTTTTGTCTTCCGTTTTCTGACAACTTGAAACTTTCCTGGAGGAATTAGACATCTACGAAATTCTACCTGCATATAACAACGATAATCGATGAAAAGAACAAAACTAGAAAAAACAGGGATATAAGATGTAATTGAAACTCGAAAAAAGCTACGATATTATTGATCAGGAAAATGTTTCAGCAAAATATATTACGAAAAATTCTCACTCAGAAATGTTTTTGTAAAGAATATTCAACAATCTCCACTGAAATCTTTTGCAATTTCCACCAACAAGAAGCTAAAACAACCGCATTCGCGTTATTTATGAAAAAATAATATCGACTTGAGGAAATCTTTTGTTATTCCCGGAGACTTATTAAAGTATATTGTCTACAAGTGAAAACTCTGTGGACAGTATGACCTACAACAATTCTTGTTCGTATGATTATCGTAAATTAATGCTTCTCGGAGAAACTGGTCACCTACTAATCTTGTCTTACGTATAGCGGTTTTCCGGATGAATTATAAAATTCGAGATAGCAGTATACATAAAAAAATAATTGTCAAAAATGCATTCGGCGTTGACAATTAAAAAATACATTTTTTCGCCCCCCGAATTTTGATTGCCTCGGAATCAGGAAATAAAGGCGAAAATCAGGAAATGAAACCGAAAATTGATTAAGCCGATAAACCGGCGTCGCACGAAACCGTGTTCGTCGTCAGATGTCATCCCATCGTAACCCGCTAATTAAAAACCATCACGCAATTAAATCCTCATTAATCTTATCCGCGCCGCCTCCACTCAATAATAACAAATTTCCATAATGAAATTAAGCCGGCGCTAATCCATCAGTCCGTGTAAACTTAGTTTAGCCAACAACAGCGCGAAGAGGTCAAAAAGTGACTCATCTCTTAAATAATTTTTTTTCTTTAACGTCGTTCCAATATAATTTTACAGCGCGTTCGTACTCGGCCCTCGTCGTAAACTCCCTCTCAGCATTGAAATTTTATTATGAAACAGAGGCACGTGGGACTGGTATTTTTTCGACATTATAGGGATGCCGCCCTGCGGCTACTTCACCCCATCGAGACGCTACCCTCGATTTTTTAACCCCACGTACTTCATCCCAACTGTCTTGATTTAAATAACGCAAGAGCACGTCCAATTTTTTATTTAATTGAATTCCAAAGACGTCGACAACCCTCTCGTGGGTCCTCAAATTAATGGAAATGGGTCAGTCATTCCGGGGAATTTTTTACGCGGGAAGCGAAAAAATTCTGGGGTAAGAGCGGGGGTCAAGATTGGTGGAATGGAAGAGGCCACCCCTTATTTTTTTAACCCCAGCTAATTACGTTAGGGTTCTTAGGTGGAATTACTTATCCTTCATCTATAACGAGTGCCAGGCGCTCGTTCTTTCTTATCGGCGCTCCTTAT